GAGTGCCCCTGTTGTGACTGCCCGCATACCTGAGTGCCCCTGTTGTGACTGCCCACATACCTGAGTGCCCCTGTTGTGACTGCCCACATACCTGAGTGCCCCTGTTGTGACTGCCCACATACCTGAGTGCCCCTGTTGTGACTGCCCGTGGCTGCCTCCTCCCCTTCAGAGCACGGAGCTTGTCACCTTGCGTCAGGCCACTGCTGTTCTCGTCCTCCTGTGGGGAAGGGAGTCGACACATTACAGCTCAAGTTCCGTGACCTTTTATCCCAAGTCACACTCGACCCATCATCAGCACTAAAACAGTGTCCTGTCTGCGATGTCCCAACGGCGTGGATATGGGGACCTCTTCATCTCCCGGTGATCTAAATGATTGGTGTGGGCTTCACAGAAACATGCGTCTACTCTTAAGGGTGCTCTGTTCTGTTGTAGTGTTAACAGCTGAGCAAACTGCTAGGGATGGCAGGGGGTATATCAGGTGCTAGATGCCCCCCCCAGAATTATTCTAGTGCACAGGAACAAAATCCGGCATCACATAACCCTAAGAAGCCCAGCCAGCAGGCTTCCTCCACAAAAAAGGCAGCAGCTAATGACAGCCAGAGAATTCTCAGACAACCAATAGCAGAGTTTGTGAACTTTGTAGTAAACATTCCAGAAAATGCTTTTAAATAAAACTGAACAATGTACAAAAACCTCTCAGAAGATACAGAATTAAGACAAGAATCCACTGGGCTGATGAGCTGTTATTCATCTACTTTTATCTGACCTTTTACACTGGATCTGTAATTTAGATGAGAAACAGGCTGAGTTTAGTCCCCAAAACAAAACCAAAACAACCAAATTACAAACAGAATAACTTGCTGCTGTTGAACTTGTCAGTGGGGGCAGGGGTGGAAAGAGGAACGGGATCGTGCAGGTTTGAGCAGGATGACCCGTGCTTCCCGGGGGGGGCTGTAATGGGACACATACCTGATGTGTGCCCCTCGCTTAAATATTCAGTTCGAAATGCACATTTAAGTATATATTTATTGACATAGATAAACATCTACTTGTGAATTTAGATCCCAACACATTAAACAATATGCTAAAGCTGGCTGTGAATTGTTTACGGCTAATGCTAGTTAGTCAGTCTTAATTGGCAATACCAAGACTGTCAGCTCTGTCACGCCAAACTCGCTGGAAATGCATCCAACATACTAACTCAATTGAAACAAATATTATTTGAGATACCATCTGAGTGTGTGTACAGCCAGAGCAAGTCAGAAACAGCCTCTGCAAGTTAGTCTCCCCATGGCATTCAAGGCGCATTGGCAAGAAATTCAGTGGGATAAAAAAAATGACCAAGTCTATAGGGGTGTTTATTGCTACAGATGCGACTATATTCGGTAGCAGAGAACACAGGATTCAACAGAATTTAGTTCATTATGATTGTGATGCTATTTTTTTATTTTATATGTTTAAAATTCACAATGTGCAAAATAAGTGTCCCTTAGGTTTTATTACTCACACGTCGGCAGACACATTGCTTTTGGTTTACAGCCTTTTCCTAATTATGTTTGTTTGCAGTTTACCCCACTGTAACAAACCGTACCGAACCATGGACCGAAAACCAAAGTTTGCACCGACCTGAGAATTTAATGAACCGTTACACTGCTATTGCTGGGCCATTTTTAACAGAACATCAAAATCATTTTATGGGCTGAGAGTGTTTAGGGAGCTGAGACTGTCACAAGACACATTCCTCCCTCACTCGCCGTCAGCCTGGACCTTTTTGCCAACAGGAAGGCAGAACATGCAGAACCCACAATAAGGAAGCAGCCCTGGGGTTCCGGGTCAGCATAGCCCGCTAGCGGATAGCAGGGACTTCAGCAAAATAAAATTAAAAACCCAGGAGCACAGGGGTGCCGTGGGGGGGGGCCACTGCACGACGTCGCGGACGGCTCACCTCCTCCGCGCCCTGCGACTTGAAGATGGATGTGGCGAGGGTCAGGTTGTCCAGGTTGGAGATCAGATGCGTGACGCCGCGGTCCCCGGGCAGCGGCCGCTGCTGCTTCTGCTCGGACCGCTGGGTGTCGCCTTGCATCCACAGGCTGGCCTGCTTCCTGCGGGTGAGAGGCAAGAGAGCATCTGTTAGAGAGACGCCACCCTAGGCAGACGCCACAACCCGCGTTGGTGCTCAGCATGCCGCTTAACCACACATGAAGAGCCCTAACATGTTTGAGCTGACAGGTACCCTTCGGAACGGAGGCCTGATGTCCTTAAAATCACAGCCAGCGCAGGCCTCTAACATACCCAGGATGAGGCCTACATGCACGCCAGGCCGCATGCCGTCTGCAGATAAGCAGCCCAGTTTCTCACAAGCTACTAATCTTTGGCCTTTTGTCAGGCCGGACGTTCCTGACATTAAGCAGACATGGGAGCGCGGAGCCGGCACTCTGCTCAGCTTCAGGCATGACAAGCCAAGGACTCTCCCGGCACCCTCATGTGGACCCAGGGCTCAGGCCGCACGAAAGATGAGGCACACAGAACCATCCGGCTGCCATCACTGGGCCGTGGCCAGGCCAGGGCTCTGACCACCACTGGGGGACTCGGGTCAGGCGTTCAGAAACACACAGCGCTTCCCACGCTTTACAGGATTATGAAACAAGCTCTCCTGCAGTCTCTGGCATGCCAGGGAGGAGCGTAGCACAGAAACGGAAACCCATGCTGAGAGAAAGACTGTAGCGCTGCTGATTATCCAACACTCCCAGTCATGTAAACCACGTTCTGCGCAAATTTCACCCTTCCTCGGCCCCTGCTCCTCCTCCTCCTCCTCCTCCTCCTACACTCACTCCTCCAGGAAGTGCTGCTGGGGCCCGATGATGGACCCCGGTCGGCAAACGCGGATCCAGGCGATGGCCTCGGCAGCTGTGAAGCCGTGGTGCTTCATTAGGTAGCAGCCGATCAGCGTCCCAGTGCGGCCCAGGCCAGCTGCTCCCAGGACGGGGAAAAGGAGGCGGGGGGGCAGAGAGCAGAGTAAGCAGAGCGTCTGGGAACTGGGGGGAGACACTTGTGCACCACTAACACGCTGAAGGGGCCTGTGCCTCAGAAGTCAGCCCACAGACAGATGCACTTAAAGCAAAATAACGTGTGAAAAAACACCACAGAAAGGTAACTAATGCTTATGCACATCAGCCCTCAAAGAAACTATCACAATAACAATAATTATTCAAAATAAAGTTTACTGGTTTAATATACGTAAATAACAATAACAAAACTAAAAAGTTTTATATAATACTTAAAGTGTTATACTTAGAAAGACTGGTGGATTTGACAACTAGAAATAGTCTTTTTCAGCAGACACTGCCCCCTTTTGGCACACTTGTCAAACTGCAGTCCTTCCAACACACACCCTTGCAGTGGACTGCGACGGCACCGTTGGTGCTCTCGCATATATGCAGGAAGCGCTGGGTGATGGCGTCACTAGGCGTGCTGCCATCGGCGAAGAACAGGTCATAGTGGTCAAAGCCGGCGTCAGTGAAGCGCCGGGAATCGTAGATCTTCTTATTGAGACGCACCACCGTCATCACGTTGTGCTTCCGGAAGTAGGGGAAGTAGGCTTCAGGGGCATGGAGAGGGTAGCCTGGGGGGGAGGGCAGGGATGTGGGTCACTGACCAGCTTACGGTCACATAAAGCACACACTGAGCATTAAAACACCTGAAATATAACGATGATGCCCACTGTGTGAATTACACTCCTGTTTAGCCAGCAAAGTTCCATGCTTTGTGGGTCAGACGGCCAAGCACAGCCAGCTGTGCATCTCTGTAGGTGCAGTGTGATGGCCAGTTAATGTAGTGATATACCAGCCACACACGCACACATACAGCTCCCACAGAAAGGAAAACTACCCGGACCTTCGGCCTGCAATTTCACTTCCATTACATATGGCTGCAACAAAAGCAATGGTGCCATCTTCTGTTCAATGAATGCATTACAGCATATGGGTGGCCAGGCAACCTACCGTTCTCTATTTTGGTCTTGGGGTGCGGTCCACTGAAGGCCAGCAACTTCCCCGGAATTATCCAGTTGAAGTCGCCATTCTCTACACGCTGCCGTGGAGGATCAAAAGGTACAGGAACACAGAAGCAGTCTCAGCAAGAGCGCCGGACAGGCGAAGGCAGAGCGGCTCTTTCAGAGAATAAACTTATTTAAAAATTTTTACGCTATATAAAAAGCAGAACTTTCCTGGTACCATCATAGTTCAAAGGAAACCACAAAGCCTGGGGACCGCAGCTGTTATTTCCTCCTTTGCGAAATAAGCTTTGAAAGTCACCCACACACTGAGAAGCATTTAATTCACTCTGATCTCGCAGGAAGCCGGCTGCCGCTAAAGCACCACAGATATGCACCACGGAGTTCTGAGGACCTTCTGGATTCCCATACGTTTCCAAGACCGCTGCCCCCTGGTGGGATTGTGGCATAACCACCTAGGAACAATCTCTTAAAAAATCCTAACCTAGCTTTGCGTTTTGAATGTATATAGATGGTATATATTTGGAGGGATTGCAGATGATATTTAATGTAACCTGAAAGAGGTTAAAAAGATATTTTTTCGGTTTCTCAGACAGCAGCCCTATGCGTGTGTAGAAATCCTGACATAAGCAGCTGAGATCAGGCTCTGGATTACCAGCTATGGTTTTACAAGATGCTAGTAATGAGACACTTGCACCCTACCCAGGAAAAATGCTCTGCGAGTTGCTTGCTTAAGCTTATGTAATCTCCTCAGCTGTACTATGACTTGTTGTTTTTGGGTCTTACAAACAGCACATTAAAAATGGGGGGCTTACCTCATAATGCTCATATTCGTCCACATCAAACGTCTCGAAGTCAAAAAATCCATGTTGAAGGGCCTGGACGGAAGAAACAATTTGAGGATGGGCTGGGACATGGTCACAGTGGGAAAGTTTCACCATGACACATGTCCACACCACACCTTCCCACAGGAGACCCTCACGACCGTGCCCAGGATTTAAATGCTGGCAGGGGGGAAGCTACCATGTCACCCCGCTTAACCAATTAGTCTTGCTGTACGTGCCAAAGATGTAGGAGACATGAAACACAAGCTACCAGCTGGGCCCAGAGGCTGTGCAGATTGAAAAGCATCACCGTGACACACATACACACACACACACGACTCTGCATGGAGACCAAACAAACGAGGCCTTATTCACCTCCTCCTCGCCCCCCCCCTCCCCGGTGCTGACAGCAGTATACTGGGCACAGGAAGGGCAGAGAGATCTCCACAGTTACATAACAGCTCCCTTTCTTGCACTCCTTTAATCAAGTTAACACCCTCCCCCATCTCCCTCTGAACGGGCAGCATCAACTGTGCGATTAACAAGAGGATAATGGCTGAGGGGGGCATGCAGATCCTGGGTAAGCCCCCCCCCACCCTCTTCCCATTCCAACCTCTTAATCACCATCTCTTCTGGCCTGTTTTTCTGAAGTGATTAATCTGGCAGCTGTCTTCACCAGAAGTTTCCTGAAGGGCCCAAACCAGAACGACTGAGTGCCAGCCTGGCTATGATCAGCTGAGGATAATCACTCGACCGCATAAACAGATTGATCCCATTCGTCACATGACCTGGAGGTAGAGAGCCGGTCATAGAGAGGCAGGCATGTGACAGCGGACACCTCACTCGAGGCCTGACAGTCAGCTCCCTAACGGGACGGACGGCCCTCCTGACATGCCTGGACTCCGCTTGCCAACTCTGGTTTCAGTCTGGAGGCTCTTGCATCTCCCTGAGCATGTGAAAGTGCAGGTCCGCTAAAGAAAATAGCTCCATCCAGATGCATCGGGGGCCAGGACTGTGTCAGGTGTGTCTGCACAGATGTGGCCGGCCTCAGGTCCTGGAGGCGCACACACACCCACGGTGACGAGGGAACAGCGAGTCCTACCAGCGGCTGCTCCCTAGAGCAGGCAGGAATGCTGACTCAGACGGGCCGAAAATAGAGTGGGCGATTCAGCAGGCCGCCGCCAACACCGCAGCGGTGCGGGACCCGACCAAGGAGCAGGGCTACACCAGACACCCTGCCAGAGCCGTACCCCAATAACACACAGGCCGCAGATAACACCCATCTGCTTGGATAAACAGAGAGCTGTAATGATGCCAGGCCTCACACAGTATGGATGGTTTTTATTAGGTCTCCTTGTAAAACACTGACTGGAACATACCCACACCACCCCCCACCCCAATGGTCCCCTAAGCTTTCCTGTGCACCCCACCAGCTATCAGACCACCCCCCCAATCACCATTTACCAGAGGGAGGGAAAGAAAACAGCTGGTGGGCCAGAGACTGAGGTAGACTGACACTCGCTACTTCAGGAGGGCACAGTGTTTGGGTGCGTGTGTGTCTGTGCGCTGTGGGGGGGGGTTCCTCCTTCCTTCCTTCCGAGCCAAACCCTCCCCTCCCCCGGCCGAGACGCTTCATGCCGTCGCCAAGGAGCCATGCAAAGACGGCGCGCCCTTACATAACTGTTCTCTGGCAAACCACTGTGGCAGAGCCAGGACGGGGATAGGAACGGCAAGCCAGCCGGCGAGGCCACATGGAGCTCGGAGCATGTTCCATGGGGGGCACTGCACAGGGCCCTGCTGAAACATGAAGTCTCACTCTGAAACAGCAAAAGCATCTCTTACCTTGTGGATACCTTGCAAACAGTCGAGAATGGTCAGGCTGTATGTGCAATTCCCAAAAGAGGCGTCCCTACAAGAGAGGAGAGGAGACTGCATGAAGTTCGGCTGATCGGACACAACGGAGACGAGCCAAGCATCCCGCAGAACAGGAACTGCTCCTGTGGAACCTGGCAGAACCTGCTGGAATCCCATTTCCCTCAGGGAGGAAAACAGAAAGCGCAAGGTGCTGCCGTCAGGCTGGAGCAGAGTAGAGTTCCAAGTCCACAGCCTCGACAAGTGGAATTGAGGCTGGAATCCGACCGCTGGCTGACAACCGGCAGGTCAAATTGACCGTGGAGAAACCTGACAGCTGTTAGGGTGTTATGGAGGTACAGCTTCTGTCTGAGGTTAACCATCATTCAGACTCACACGCTCCTGTATAAAATCACACAGCAATGGTTAAGTGAAGGACATTTTCTGAGGCCACCTAAATACTTTGGCCACTCAAGTGTCCAATGTTTTCAACCAGACATCAAATTCTCACACCTCTCAGGCCTGAGGTCATCTTTCCCTCGAATTCTACAAGCTGGTGGGATCATCTCCCTCTTTGAAGTATAGCTAGAATGCCTGCGACAGTCCTTTTCACACAGGCTAAATGGAAAAATACCACTCTTGACAGCTGATGGTCAGATGTTATGCGCACGATGATGTCATAAACACCCCATCGTCAATCCGATTTCACGGTGACACAGAATGGAGGCGCTTGGCAGTAAGCAAGCCGCTCACGGCATATACCACACGGGTGGGAACGGAGCTGCCAGACATCATACACACAGGCTCTCACATGTGCCTCATAGCGTTCAGGGCCAACCGAGAGCTGGAGGGAAAGCAGCTAGGACAGGGCCATTCACTCTCGGACTCAGGCCGCTGAAAGCGTGGCGGCGGCGTCGTCATGTGGGTGATGCTCTTCATGCTGCCTGAGTCGCAGCCACGGAGGTGGGCCAGACCACGCCAAGCCCCATCCGCCGCTCCAGCTGGGACTTCACACACAAAGGGTGAAGAAACAGGTCAGCTTATAGTATGCTGGGCCTCTCTCCCTCGGCTTGGCTCCCGTCTGAGCGCGACCACGATGCGAATGGGGCTCAGAGGGAGACTCAGAGCCTCCCACATAAAAACACAACTATTATGAGGTTTCTTCATCTCCAGACACTATTTTACAGGGACAATTCAACCACTTTTTTTCCTTCTAGGTTTTCCATTCGTCTGGAAAATCCACCAATGGGATAAGCCAGCAAAAGAAAATATTTTATTATGCAATAAATAAAATTAAAATGAGTGTCAAGACCTGACTCCAAGCTGACAGTCAGCGTCGTGACCCTGACTATGCCCCAGGGAATGCATAACCAACCAAAAAGACCAGAAATCCATTATGCCCACAGAGTATAATAAGTGGGCGCAGAAACAGAAGAGCCACAAAGCCCCCCCCAGCAGAAGGTCTTTGTGCACTGTCTGCCTCTCCTACACACTACCTCATTCATTACTGGGCCCACTGGGACCTGTGGGTAGAACAGACAGACCGTCGTGTGCCCTGGACGCAGCAGGAGAAAACAAAGGCACAAAGGATACAGGGGACGGAAATGTCTACGAGCAAACAAACGGCAATTATAAGCCAATGACATCACCAGAAAGAGATCCCCATTACTACACAAGGAAAAGCAGGAGGGAGGCAAGCAGGCCGCAGGGTTAATCGCGTTAACCTGGCTGTACCGTGGACGGCTCCTAAACCCAATGGGGATAGGCCTGCTGTGGACAGTAGCTCTCACCTCGTGCAAATGCACAGATTCTTCTAAGGAGCCACTTGGATCACGCAACTCTGAACTTCTGTCATCTCAACAGAGGCTTGAAGGAAGTGAAAACCAAAGCTGACCTGGTCGCCAACTTCAGCTGCAATAGTTTGGGTGGTAATGCTGACATATGGCACCACGCAATCCGACAGCACAAGGGTCATAATCTCTCTGATAAACACTTCCCTGAGAGCCGATAACCACATCTCCACTGGCAGCAGGCCAAGCAGCCCCATACACGGCAAAGAAAGCTGCATTTCCGTGAAGTGTTTCAGCACCATGGTACCAGGATATAAACACATACAGCCATAGGACTACATAAAAGCAGACTGAGTTTGCTAGAAGATGCCAAACCTACACAACCACTTATATTCAACACTCACCACAACCATTATGGCTCTGTGCTGAAAGGAGCTCAAAGAAAGTCCTCACGAGATCATACTCCTGTAGGATTGACCTGGGCAACTGGGGACCTTTTGAATTGGGGTTTAACTAGTAGGAATTTATCCATGCTCACCAATGAATGGGACCTTCTGTTACAAATATCTACAACAATTTGCATAAATCAAATCGACGCAAAATGTACTGGGACCTATAAGGGACAAAGTGCAGGTGCAGCAGACCCTCATCAGTACTGCCGGGCTGCAGAGCTGTACTCTGGGCTCAGGGGTGGATGAGCAGGGCGTGGAGCCACTGCGATGTAAGAGCAAATGCCGTTCGTGTTTCCGCCCCCTCGCTGTCACATGTTCCTGGGAGTGGCCTGGTCTTCTGGAGGTGATGTTTATATTTGATTAACACCCAGGATAATAATGGCTGAACTGTCACCAGAGTGTTTATTGCCCGTCACTGAAGCACGAACACTTCCCCTGAATGCATAGGCCGGGAACGCACTGCCATAACACAGTCTATTTACAGCAGAAAGGCAGCTGGCAGGGAGAGAGGGTGAGTGAGTTCAGAGAAAGGGAGCAAGCACTCCCCCAAAAGATTAAACCAGGGGCTGTGGTGATGCAAGCCCCTCTTGCTACGTGTCGTCCATCTCCAGTTCACCTCCTCATCACTCACATACAACGCACACCACAGGAATCCTGACTGGTCAGATTAAACCCCTCAATAGTCTGGGAGAGGTACTGAAACATCCTTTGTCTGACAGATGGCTTTTCACCAGGCAGACCGACTAGCTTCCTGAGAGGGTCAGCAATCTAAGCCTCAATACTGCATGGATTAAAATACCTTCCTAAGCCCCAAGGGCAGGGTGCTGGAGAGGGGACAGTTTCCATATTCTTTTCTTACCATCACTTAAGCACACAGAACCAAGAAAACCACATATTTTCCAAGAGCGCTCAACAGGATGACCATCATTCATAACTCACTGTATTCTGTGTACATCAACAGCCCCCAATGAGTGGACTGGACAATGGAGCCCATTTTCATGCCACGCCCACGGCGTATGGAATGGTAGTGAGAAGACCACGACACACACACGCCTGTAGGACGTCCTGGAACACACTGTGATCACCTCTGGGGACCAAGAACAGAGAACAGAGCATCTGCTCAGGGACACACTCATGCCCTACCGGCATTCTGTACACACCTGCATCCTCTGGGCTTCAAATCCGAGCAACAACAAGGGCCTGAGTGATTATTATATATGCCATATAAGCGATGACAGGTGTCTAATTAAAGGCAGAGAGTCATAGCTGCAGTGCTGGGTGTCATGTGACGGCCATGTGTTTGCCCCTCCGCCCAATCAGGCGGCCCTCTGTACCGCAACCTCCCAGTGCTTCAAAGTCAGAATAGGTCTCAGGACAACTCAGGAATTTCATTTTGTTAGTGACTGCAAAGACTAACGCCACCTAGTGGTGGTGGTGATGTTGATGATGATGATATGACAGCATGCTGGTGGGGGAATCAGACTATGAAATTCAACTGCATAAAATACAGTCACACGCTTGGTCCACATCAGATACTTACTATGTGGATACATGCAAAAAAACCTAGCATGTGATTGTTTACAAAAAGTGTTAAACAGTTACAAAAAGGTAAACCCCTACTAACAAGCCTAAACCTGGGGATGAGATCACAAGTGCACGAGGATCACTAAATCCAAACAAAACAAAGGCGTGGAGACAGTAACTGCGGATAAGTAACCATGCCACTAGAGAACGGGGTGTGAACTTTAAAAATACCCCTGTGCTCTTGTTACTCATAAGCATGAAGGAAAAAGAAATGAGGCATGTCTTTGGGCAGTAAAGGGTATTAAGCTAAATTTCAGCAATTCAGGTGAACAGATTCCGGTTGAGGGATACCGCTACCCTACTGTTTTTTTGACAACTGATGATGCCTGTGCTTTCAAAAATAAGTGCAGACAACCAGCACAAATATCTTTAGTTTGCAATTAGCACAAAATAACCTAAAAATCATAGGGTATATGTAATTACATAATTACACGTGAAAAATGCGGCTATAAATGCTGCACTAGAGTTGGTCATTTGGCTTGTTATGAAACTTCAGACCCAGAACGCCCCCATCACTCATCCAACGATGCTTTTCCTGAAAATACTCAGTGAGCCACAGCAACGAGGACGTCAGCCCGTAACAAATTCACACGGCCCTGGAAACTGGCGCCGAAGGCTGGCACACGGGGCAGCCGCCACCCACACTACGCCAGATCTTTTGTCTGACTGTCATTCTGACCCAGTTCTAACTGATAATCTCAGCTTCTTCTCAGCTCAGATAGATAAACTAGCCACCTGTCCCTTGGTTGCTCATGGCACCCAACAGGGCTGTGAGATACTGACCAGGATACTGCTTTTAGATCTTTAGGTGAAGCATTTAAATTCAATTAAAACATTATGCTGCACATATATAGTTCTACACAATCGCTCCAGATAACTACATGATTATAATTACATGTAGTTCAGTTGGCTTCACACAAACCGTGGAGCCAGGAAGTCATTAAACGGTTATTTGGGTTAAAGTAGCCCCAACTATAATTGCATTATTCTTCACATATTCCTATTACAAGCTGTAAGACACTGGCTCAGAACCAGGGTGCCAGACCCCAACGCTTAAGCTTAGAAAAAGCGTTTGCTGGTTCTGATTGCTCACATGAGCATTACTGGCAAGCACGTCATGAACTTGAACTTTTAGCCAAGACGAGATCCAACAAAGAAAATTTTCAAGACCGTCTGGTCTGTGCGAGACACTACTGGGGTGGCCATGGCAACATCAACAGAAATCCAGCGTCATTTTGTAAACAGATGCCTGGTTTGCACAGAACCAGAAAACACTAACAACTAGATGGTACTGGCGCCGATATGACAGCTGCCAGATGCCCCCACCACAGGTGCTGAGAAGGCACTGAACCACAACTGATCTCACTGGGTGATTTGGCCATGGCCGCTGTCATAATTCCATTCATTAAACAATCATCTTCTATAACAGCCGTGAGTGGCCCACACCAGCTCCTGTGAAACTGCACACACGCGTGGCCAGAGCAACGGCAGCCTGGGACTAGAGCTTAGATCGGGCCCAAAAAATTAAACCCGACCCTACCCGAGCCCGTGCACCTTGTGTCCGAGCCCGACCCGGTCCGACACATTAACTGTAATTATGAGCCCGAGCCCGATTTAAACCCGACTATTTTTTAATACGTGAGCCGTTGTAATAGACGTTCTCAACTACAATTCTAAGTTGTTTGAACTACAGAAATTAGTTTAGATTTATCTTAATGAAAAATGCAACAAGGACGAAGCATGTAAACTGCATTGTTTGTTTATTCAGAATGGATTTTTGAGACACGTTTAGAAGAAAAGCACGTTTTCACTTATCCAGTTCGCTTGCTGCTGGAACCAGTTTGTGTGCTCGGCATCGAACTTTAAGTAAAGGGTTAAGAAAAAGGTTACATCCTTCCGTAAGCAGCCAATGAGGTATGTGTTAATTAAGTTTTAGTTAAGTTTGTTGTATTTAGCCATGTAAATGTAAATGCTAACTGAGGTTCGTGTTAACTGTATATGAATTCTCTAAGCTGTCTTTATTGTTATTTATGTTTATATTTCATTTGAATTTCAATGTTTGTTAGCTAATATTGTAAGTAAATGTGCTTGATTTTGTGTTTCCGTATCTGTATTTAGCTCTCACGTCTGCCATGATGGTGATAATAACGAAGCCACTGTCTTTCGAATAAACCGTCGGCTCAGTTAAATGCAAAGGACTCTTGTGCTCGTGTCTTACGGGAGGGAGCTACATTTATAATTATGGCATAGCTCTCCACCCAATTAGGCTAATTAAGTAATGATTTAAAAAAAAAAAAAACACACACAAATGCTTGATCATGGCCCCGCCCGGCCCGAAGATAGTGGCAGGAAATATCGGTCCGACCCGGCCCACGGGTCGGGTCGGGTCGGGTCTGGGCTCGGGCTCGGGCAGAGAATCTAAACTCTACCTGGGACCCCCCACCAGGCAAAGCCCTGCCTTGCAGCCTGCGCTTCCGGGGACAGGCTACTGAGCACCGGTACCAATGCTAGGATAAGCTGCTCTTTAAAAAAAAAAAAAAAAAAAAACGGATGAGCAGACTTATGTCAGCCATTCTTCCAGGCTGCCTGTAAGGAGCTTTAAGAACTTTCCATCAGTTCTCTATCCAATTGGTCTCTGGTTCACCGGCTTCTCTCATTCTACCATCTGCAATCAGCCTGCCCAGCGAGAAAGCAAACACTCAAACCTTGATTTACATTCCCTTTGGGTCTCTCATGGTCCTAATTATTTTGGGAGTATAATTTTCACTACACAAGATGGGCAATATTTTACAAAGCATCCAAATGCATAATAATTAGAAACCATGCCAGCTCGTGGAACGCCCAGTCTCTTCTCTCTATATCATTCAGACAGTGAAGGAACAGACTGGAAAGTTTATCCAGCTTTCAAAAAATGGGGGCACAACTTTTATAACTTTGCATATACGAGTCTTGGGGGCATGACAAATCTAAACAGAGAGACAGAGACCGACACTGACGAACAAGAGCGTAGAGCACATAACATGCGCCTTTACAGGACCCCCATTCCCAAGGCATCTGTATAAGTGGCACGGGAGAGAAATTCCCTCAGCATCTCCTTGGGGAATGAGTCCATCCTGAACAGCTGTGCCAAAGGGAAAACTGCACATCATTTGACAGCTGGGTCTCACTAAGGAAAAAATCTTATTTACAGGGGTCGGTCGAAAAACACTCCCTGTACACACCTCAGAAATGCATCATGACCTTACATATTAGGGATTATTTGAAGGCAATTTAAGGAAATGGTACCAGCACTATGAAATCGGTTCAAGATCTAAAACTTTAGCTAAAAAAGATTAACAGCACGACAGATAGTCCAAGCTCATGCACTAGCAAAGTTAATCTGCCATCTTCAATAGAGAAGGGGCCTCCCAAAGTGAGACTACACACACACACACACACACACACACACCAGACAGGGCACAGCACCCTTATAACCAGGTGTAAAATCGCTCGTCGCCCTCCATCTGTGCCGAGCCGCCGTCTGCCTGCCACACGACGCCCGTCTTTCACACGCCCCGGTTCTTGTTGAACCTGCTGCCGCTGCGGAGGTGGAGCCAAGCTGCACGGCTTGAGGGAATGAGCACTAGTGACAGAAATGAGGAGCACACCGTTTAAATGAAACCATATCCTTTTCCCTCACTTGCCTTATTGGTTACCAACAGTTTCATGTGTTTTAATCCTTTTAAACATCCAAGTAGTGAAACACCTGACATGCACCAATCACTTGGAACCCTACCTCACACCCAGAAGCCCTCCCACATACCAGGGCCCTTTGAAAGCTTATCCCAATAGCTTGACTGAATTCACTCTGAATTATACCATCATACTGTCACCATTACTGTTAACATAACCTTAAAAGGGAGCATTTCAGAGGCCCCCGTGTCCACCAACGTGGTGCTGGAATCTGCCAAGCTTCCCCCCCCCCCTCTGGAACTGGTTCCGTGCATTTCCACCACAAAAAAACTAGCCCTGGTCCAGAAAAAAATGGATCCAGCATGGCACCACAGAAAATCTGGTTTCAGGTTTTGGATCTGTAACATTAGCGAAAATGGGACCGGCTACCACATCCAAATCTTCCACATAGCCAGGAAATTCAATCAATCAATAACCAATAATGTTTTGTCTCATATCCCGATGCCAGCAGTGAAACAACAACAACAACACGCTCAAGTACTCACACTTGTGACACTCAAGTGTTGAAGACATCGTGAGGCAGACAACAAAGCTCAGTTTTTGCAGGCTCTTTAATTACTCTTTAATTAAAAGGACCGCAGTAAAACCACAAGAATATTTTCTCCCCAGTCTGTGTGTGAGGTTAAGTCTTTAAGGGAATAAAAGTTGGTATAACAAGTTGCTGGACTGTTTCTGTGTCACTACCTGCCAAGCATGACATTTACAAGAGCTGAAATCCATCTCACTGCAAGTCACTGGAAGAAAAAGGAGGTTCTCTCCTTCCCATTCCCCTCTCACACTTCCCACACAAACCCATGAGGAGCAGCACCCCAGACATCCTGACGGTCACAGCCGGCACACCGACACCATGCTAATAATCACACTGACAGCCCATCCCTGCTCAAACACATTCGACTCAATTATCAGCAGCATAATCCACAGCGCAGCAGCAGAGAACGTGTTTTTTTACCTGAATGGTAGGTATGGCGCATTGAACCCAGAGACGAGCGCCCTGTAGGCCTCCTCGGGGGTCTTCTTCAGGTAGAGGACCTGGAACGAGACGACAAGTGTGAGGATACATTGCTAGGCTCTCCACAGCTTAAACGAACCTCCAACAGTTTATCCGTCCGGCAACATGATGGCTTCCGGTTGCCTGTGCAGCTAGAAACCTGATCCCATCAGTCTTGCGGCCATGACAGTAGCACAGAAATGTCACTGTAAGCGGCCAGTCACCCCCATGTTCATAAATCTCTGATGGGGTCAAGGAGATGGCAGCCTTAAGGTTCCCATCTCAGGTGCTGCTGCTATGCTCACATTACTTACCAGCAAGGGAACCCCCCCCCCTCCCCCGAATTTAAGATAAGCTGGTAGAAAATCAGAGAGAAAACTAGCCGTGTTCATGGACAGTGATTATCCCTGATTATCCCAACAACTGGCATGACAGGTCACAAATCCATCTCAGAAACAGAAATTCATCCCCCAAGAACAACTAGACGAAGAGGACTGTGCATGTCAAAGCCCAGGAACTTTTGACCCTCAGCTGTGAGAGCGTCACCATGACCGGAGCACTGACAAGACAGACGCCAGTGTCACCTGGTCTGAAGGGGCAGTGATAGGAATCTGGTCCCACACTGCCCACATATTAAACCTCCTGCCAACATTAAGTCAGTTCCAGCATGTTGACTTCAGCACTAGAAACCAGCAAAGTCAGTCCATTAGCATTTCTTCAGAGAAAGTCTCAGCACAGACAGTACCATTTCACTGGCAGTTCAGGAGCTGTCAGGACACCTGCCTGGCTTTGCTCTTAGTCCAAAACGACTACCGTGCTAATGTCAGCCCAGCTAGGACGCCAAGCAGCACAGCCCATAAAAGTCAAGTTCAAGCGTGAGAAGCAGTGTGTGAAGCACCCACACACCTCTTCAGTGAGAGGGCCCGGCTTTGTGTCTCCTTGTCTCCCTCGTGAAATATTCACTATGCATGCATTAGAGCCTACTGAAAGAAAGGCGGATTAAGTTCTGCCACTGGAAGGGTACGTGCAACAACACAAAGAGGAGGCAGAATCCCAAAGACCAGTCTGATTCCCACATTCTAGGGATAAAAGCAGGCTGTGTGTCTTAAAAGCAGGACTCAGAAATGTCACCACCAGACCAAGCTTCATCAGCACTTCCCTAAGAAGAGGAGTAGCAAGAAGCTTCACAGATCCTCCCATGCCAAACAGCTAACTCAGTTTAAATGAAATCCCAAAACAATACCGGAGAAGACAATAAATTACCTGCTGTAAACTTAATTCTATGCTATAACGTCAGTTCATTAAGCTCTGCCGGCACAGATCGAAGCACCAATCGCAGACTCAGCGGGTAGAGATCAATCACCCCAGCAGTTTAATTAAAACGTGAGACAAGAGCTCTGCGCTTTTGACTTCCGAAAACAAGTCCAAGGCACCCTTTTCTCCTTGGCTTTAAAATAACCGACAAGATACAGCAGCAGATCACCATATAGCCTGGTTTTAAATGGAGAGCTCACACTACCATTTAGTTAAGAGATAAATTTAGATCTTGGTTCAGGGTGCAGGATAATTTTAGACTACATCAGCACCATACTGATGGCACTAGGAGACCGGTTACGCTTGTGCTGCTCCATTTACAAGGGTTCCCATTTGATAGTGCTGTCCCAAAACCCATCAGGACCAATCCTGTCCTAAGCCACACCTACCCTGAAGTGCAGGGTTTCAGGGCTCTGGGGTAGACACGGTTTCAAAGGGACATAAAACCTCTGTACAGTTTGGTCCATCCTTCAAATGATAACAGTCTGCAGACATACAGCTTCTGGCCATTAAATCTAAATTATTATTTATCTATTTAACCCTAATTCCTGATTTGTCATCTTGACAATTCATTGCCACAGGTCAAGTCCAAACTTAGAAAAGCTATTATCATAATATAAACACTATAAATCAAATGTAGAATTCACTGAATCTAAAAGGATAACTACAGGTGTTAGGTGTTGATATCCTCAGGACCTAACACGTGTGAAGACTACATGGTCATCATTGTTTGAACAGTATATAAACACAGGGAGGGGATGGCTTTAGTGATGGGGAGGGAGACCCACATAAAGCACAGAAAGTTCAGCCACAACCCAGCCGATGGGAGCATACGCAGCAGGTAGTGACATCACAAACCTTGGTGATGCAAAATTGGTGATGCAAAAGCATAAACCAGAAAAGGTCAAGCTATACCAGACAGATTAGGCAAGTCTGTCAACTGGAGGGACCATGTGCTAGAAAATGCTCTGACCAGCCTCAGGCAAATACAAACCAACCCGACTAATCAGTTTCATGCAAATGAGACTGACACATGTGGGAGAAATGAGCTTTCACACCTGGAAGAACAAAATCACTAGAGAGCGATGAATCCATCATAGGTTTGCCAACAGCCCTGCCAGCCAAGCTCTCATGGAAACTCATCAGCTGACACAGCATCACTACAGCATTAACCTGTCAACAGCGGGACCTGAGAGACGAGCCACCGCTTTGTGCGAGAGAATGCCAGTGGGCCATTAGCCTCATTTCCATTGATGGCCACATACAGTGCAGGACTGGCATAGCTGCAAAGTTCACAATCATTTGGCTGTTCACCTTCAGCTCTACATGCGGGCTAGCTGACCGTGCCTAGGAAGACGCCACCAACAGCATGTTTGGCACAGCCAGACCAATAAACCAATACGCAACATAATATCAAACACAAAGCTAAGATGAGGCAAAAGGCACAGAGCCAAATAAAAATCCACCCCCACATCCTGAAACCATCAATCAGAAGCATATAAATATGCCGAGATTCAATACTAACGTACTTCCTTGTTCGGATACAGTTCAGCCCAGCCTACCACCCCCATCTTCCAGTCAGATCAATCAAAGTATTTTTTTTAATTCAAATAAAAAGCCCCTAAGATTACAGTGGAAAGACCAGACAGCATCACCAGTACCAGCTCTGCCAACTTGTCTTCCTGGCTGAGAGTGCACGTAAGCCCGGTCTGCAGGGCGCAGGATGTGCTGGTTTTCACTCTATTTCCGTCCTTATTAGGACAGGACCTGCTGCTCCGGGGGTAAATCAGCAGGCAAGAGGAAAAATGAACCCAAAAATCATGCAGACCGCATCCCCCCCTCCCCCCATGGAGGAGTGCTTCCCATCACAGACTCCCACTTCTTCTTGGAACTGGGAAGAGAACAGGGAACACTAGCCAGTGAAATCTCTACTAATCTTAAAAGTTCCACCTGATAAATACAGGTGACCCACATCTGCATTAAGGATGACAAACGGGCAACTATACTATAACTCAAACTTTAAAATAACACACAGGGGACCCAAATATTTATAAAAATGCAACCACACACAGCCATGTCCACAAAAATAATGGTCTTTACCACGTGGTGGAGAAGAAGGGACCAATCATTCCTGTTTCAGGTGCCAGTCAGGATCAATGTCAAAAATTGGGCCTCGCTGTTCAAAGGCCCACCTCAGTGAGCCACTGCCCCACACTACAACCAGCCATTCCCATCAACGGCCGGTGGCAGCGACCGAGAAAGCCCTGAGGTGCTAGGTCAACTGGTCCTGGCAGGAAACCCCCAGGAGAGGAAGACTCGGATGATGCTGTTGCCAAAACAACAGGCGAGCCAGGAGACAGAGGGTGTTATGGTGTAATAACCCCTGCATAAGCTAAACCTGGTGCTAGCCTGGGCCAAGGAAGGTGGGAGAGGCAGTTAGATACAGCCTTTCAGAAATGCTTCAGTCATTAAAGAAAGGCATACAGGCAATGTCCCAAAAGCACAACTTTCAGATAATGAAGGTTTCATTTTCACAGTCAACTGCTGCACAAGGGAGCAGTCTGTCACAGTACATTCTTCCAGCCCCTGCCTGTAAGAGGCAGCAAAGCCAAAAGGTCCTGCAGGCAGAGCGGGGGCTAAGGTTTCACCAAGTGTGACACAATTCTGCAGAAATACAACAGAGAGCTGTCGGGTGATGGTCAGATCGGACATGAAAGGGGACGGAACAGCAGATACTCACAGCATAGGCACCGATTAAAACAGCAGCATTAGCCCTCTTCCGCTGATCAAAGCTGGTGTAGTGAACAATCCTCTTTCTGGTCAAAGTGAAGGACTGTGGGTGGAAATGAAAAGAAAAAGCATTAAGGTGATAAGACCTGCATACATGAATGATAGCTGCCGTTTTCACACATATTCCACAGAACTGTTAGCGTCAAAACCAGGTAAAATCTGTTAATGACAGTGGTTAGGCTGATGTAACTGTAGCAGGGTTGTCCTGGCTTGGGTCGAAGCTGTTGTAGGGCATCCGGGGTTAAACGAACTCCCCCCACCCCCCAGGAGAAAGGGAGAAGGACATCTGCTCAGCGAAGTAAGGCACGGCGTTAAGCTGAACAGAAGCATAGCTCCATCTCTTTCAGCTGTCACCGCGAGCTCTTAGAACTTTGGTGCCAATTTAATGGGAACATCTGCTCAGCACACATGTTGAGGCATGCGAGCTTGGGGATGCACTCTGGATCCCCGCAGCCAGATGTGCTTCTGCAAGGGGGGGGGGGGGGAAATCAGGCACCGCAGCTTTATGCAAGCAGCAAAAGCGGCATGTAAAGGCACATGCGGTGTCACAAAGTAAAGAGGCAAGATTGACACTTTGAAGTAACCTGACAGTGGCCCCTCTCCTGTTCTGGCATGCAAACAGAAGCCGAAACCTTCCTGAGGGAAGGGTGACCCATGAGGCTTCACCCGCAAGTGACATTCAAGTTTGTGCATTTACAACCAAATCGACAAACAGGGTCAAGTGACTATATAAGCACCCCCCACCCCCAGCCCAGTGCTTGGCCCAATCCAATCCGAGACAGCCGTAACAACTACCCAAGAAAAAAAGGTCCAAAACAACTACCTAGATGAAGAATTGACTCTTCAGTTATGTGGAGGGCAGCTTTCAAGCAGCTCAGTTGCACGCCTTTATCCTGATCCTCACCGATTAGTAAGCCGAGATTAAACATGCTCCCACAAACCAAACCAACCTCAATATTGGCAGGGGCTCAAGGCACTCAAGGAGAAAAAGAGAAAAAAAAAAAAAACCAGGCTGTATCCAGTGCCAGGCGGGTAGGGTGACATTTGGGGCAAGATTAATCTGTACCTGTACTTGTCTCATTTAGGCAGCCAAAACAGTGGCTGCAGTGTTTTCACTTATATAGCCATTAACTGTGGATGTAGACTGCTACTACATTTCAGTCTAGAAAATCTAAAGAAGCCGAATACATTTAGAAGGGGAGTAGGAAGGGGCAAAATAAAACTTTAATAACACTTTCAAAGCATTTATCCAAGTCCACAGAACAAATACAGTAGATCTATGCCCCCTATACATGTCATCTTGTAGAGAATTTCAGATATCTTCAATCCCACTTCCCTCCTGCCAAACCAAGGCTACAGCAAATTAAGCACTAGGGGAGATACTAATAAAAAGAATATTAATCCTGGAGTGGAATATTAAGGTCTGTAAAGCAATAAACAACAAGTATGTGCAAGGATGTAGAAATAGCAGGGAGGGAGGAGTATTCTTATGGGAAAACAGTGACTACCCAAAAACTGAAGGTTACAGTATTGGTTTAATCGGTTTAAAAAAACAAGCTTGGGCCTGCATGTCCTACTAAGCAAGGAGGGCTTCCATTCACAAAATAAAACATTGTTTTACTAACGCATACAGCAACAGATGTCTCACAAATCACAAAACTTGGTTTATTGCAGTGTAATGTTTTTGTTCCTCCCTCCTCGTGTTGGTCCAAATTAAAGCTTGACATGCAGACCTAAAGCAAGGGAGGTTCAGGAATGCCGTTTCTATGGCAATGGAGAGTAAACAATGCAAATGTGGGGGTGGGAGTAGAGGGAGGAGGGCGGTCTGTAGCGACAACAAAAATTAAAAGTCTCATGCTGTTTTTGGTCTTTACCTTCAACATTTGTATACATGTACATACCACAGAACTACACCTTGTCTGCTTCAGAAAAATGACAGAGGACAAGACATGACAACAAGAATAGAAGACCTCTATTAGTCAAACATCACTGCTGAACTTGGCAAGGTGACAAAATTGCAAGGTACCATTTTTACAGTGTGCTAGCCCTGGTCTCTGCACACTCACACAAGATCAGGATTCATTGCCAGGACTGATCCATTGGTTACCTAGAGCAGGGCTGGGCAATCTTATCCGCAAAGGGCCGGTATGTATATAGGTTTTGGGATACCCTTTAGGTCAGCTGTTCAAATACAGGTGTGAGGACTCTTCAGCTAATAAATCCTCTAATTAGTAATCTAATTAGAGAGTTGCAGCGAAAACCTGCATACACACCGACCCTTTGCAGATAAGACTGCCCACCTCTGACCTAGAGTAACTGAATGCTCAAACTGAGACAACGAAACAGTCTTCACATTTAGGTAGGCTACCATGAATTGCTATAATATTATCTAAAAACTAAACACCATTGTCAGTATATTATGCACACAGTACACGTGATGTACCTCAGTCACCTTACTGCAGAAAGCTGCATACCTGAAGACATGCAGGTTGATAAATATTTGAAATACAATATGTGAATACTTAGGCATACACCCAGAAGCCACATTCCAGAAACAGGAGAATGCAGGTAACAGACCAGGAATTTATTTAATATGGACTTTAACTGCCCATGAATATTAGGAATCCAACTAAAACTGTTTCAGAAACAGAGGAAGCCCAGTCTTAAAATTAACCACACACACTTAGAGGGCTAATCCATATAAAAACCAGCAGCCATCATCAGCCTCAGTATTATCCTTTAGTGTACAGAGCAACCATCACCCACTTCCATGACCAACATGACCCTAGTTACACTCAGGCATCCATCTAATGCCTCATAAATCCTAGACTCATCCAAGCAGGGTAAAAACGCTCCACTTCTCTAAGAAAGGGAGTCGACATTTCCGCACTACGTTCATGGCTAATAGCCTGTTGGATGGAGAAAAGTGTCTTCCACACCTCACCATCAAATAACCTCCAAAGTCCTGAACAATCCCCACTGGGGTGCCAAAAAACATTGGCCAAAGGGCGGCCAACAATACTACACTTAAAATATAAATTGGGGAATAAAGACAAACATTCAATCAAAGGCCACCCACTCATAGTGTGACAGTCTTTGGTACTGTTACGCAAATAGAACTTAGGACAGTGTAAGTCCTAAGATTACCCAATGCAGTCACTGGTGCAAGTCAGAAGCCCGAAAGCGAAAGGCGATTACAGCCAGGAGAAATGCTTCTGGGTACACAATGGAACAATATGCCGCTTTGAATAAAGCCAGTTAATATAATAATGCTCAACACATTGCACAGTACTATGGTGATTCATCGACAGTCTGACACGAACCCTGGGACAGAAACACTATGAAATATGTTTACCATTTAAACATTTAATTATTACTATTTAAACACTATTTAAATATGCTGTTTGCCCTGAAAAGCAAAAACTAATTTAATAAAACAATATAAGCAAACCACAGTTCAGAAAAGACCAAACTGAGAGCTGTAATCACTAACATTTTATACTGCAGGCAAGTGAATGCAAAAATGCAATGCATAGATTATACAGTAAGTGTTACCAGCACTTACAAATCATGACAAAAGTAAACTATTCAAAATGTATCCAATGCATTCTTTCTATGTTACAGAAGACACATCTGAGTCACATACCATACTTGGTGTAAAATACAAGTGAGAATTGATACTGGAAGAGTCTACCACATTACGGCAACCACAGAACTATATTCTATATTCAGAATAAATACTCAAATCGCACCAACACATTTCAGAGGCAGTCTTTGAAATTACTGACAAGAAGTGACAAAACAGGCCAAGCCCCAAAAAGGTTAAACGCTTTAAAAACACATAATGACATTTCCCCCCTCAATGCAGCTGAACATATGTAAATATTAGTCATTTCTTCAGAAGTGTGAGACTCATTTTGTACAATCAGGGATAAGACAGGTGACTTACCTTTAGTTTCTTGTTGAGTTTACAGCAGTACCTGTACAGCATCGCCAAATTGAGAGGTCCAAAATCTGCATAAAAGCTGAGGAAAGGGGACAGAAACAGTGTATAGGACACCCATAATCAGTCACCGCACAGACAGCAAAGTTAACAATAGCCAATAGCCAACTGAAATGTAATATCGCTTTCTAAACTTTCTAAAGTTGTTTCTAAAGACTATCAAATGCCTATTGTGGAAAACCTAGCAAATAAAATGGAGAGGGAGTGAAGTACATTTAAAAAGGATGTTGGAAAAGCATCAATGCAGGGTGTTACGTAAGACAGGGTCCGAACAACTACGTACTTGTTGCAGCCGGGGTGCAGAAAAGCTTGGTCGGGGGGGGACAGACGGCACTTACTTTTCATACACGAACTCTTCATCAGTGCAGAAATAGTGCGTGTTCGCTGTACTCTTCGGCTTGCTCCGTAACGTCGCAAAATACAGGCGATCTGAAAATTAAGCGCCAAGTTCACAAGATCACTTTGCCGGTGAGGCGATGCGCTCATTCCTTACACCCAGTTAGGACGCCCGTGTAACTGCATAGACTGGTTAGCAGCCAACGTTAACACGTCTAATAAGGCTCCCACATCGCAGAACACGCACATTTTGCGACCCCAAATTACATTTATTCGCCACGCTGGGAAATCTACGAATAAAAGTAACACTGAATAAATTTAGTCTTAAAAAGATTATATGTCGCTACCAGAGGAAAAAGCGGCGGGGCGCAGACAGCCCGCCTCCAGCGCGCGACCAAGTTGAGCAGCTCTTCACTAGCTGTCCGTCTGCGCTCAGGGCGAGTTAGCCTACCCGTTAGTCGGCCCCAGAAACACCCAAAAGTGAATGAAGCTGCTTAAACAGCTGGACGACCGTCCAACAAATATAATATCACTGGTAAAAGCTCACCTTTTATGAACTCGGAGGCTCCCATCAGCTCACTGTCGTCTGCCATTTTAAACAAAGCTGACAGGATCGTCGGGTATTTAACGTTATCGAGACTCATCGACAATGGAATGAAATGCAAAAAAAAACGTATAAAAAAGTCATATGAACTTACAATGTTAAAGTGAGGGCGAAAGCGAGGACGGAATAAAAGTAACCGAGAAACCGGCTTAAAGCCTCCTCGAACGTCCCGAGAAATCAGCAGGGATTTAAACGGAGCGCTGAGCGTCGAGGTTACACCGCGGGCAGCACTACATCCCCAGCCCACCGCCCGACAAAGGCACCGGCCAGGCAGCCGTCCGTTCCTCAACAACTTCCATGTCCCGCCGAGGGAAAAAATGACACAAAAAAAGTGAACAAGTGCGACGAAGACGACTTCTTACGCCGTCTTTCGAATTGCTAGAGTTTGATCGGACTACTCCCTCATGGCTCCAGCGGCGCGACAGGACACCTCTCCCCCTTCCGCTCCGTCCGAGGTAAAGTCCTCAGAAAAAAATCTGCTCTCTGCCATGGCCGCGTACAACAATACTCCACTACTAGGTGCGTCTTAAAGGGGCGTCACGTGGTGAGCCGGTGCCCAATCAGCACACGGAGGCGCGTTCCGAAGTCTTGAGCGCCTTTGGCCAATCAGAACCCGCGAGTAATATAAACATCAGGCGAGATTTTCCACTGGCTCTACCGGTAGGCAGAAAAACAAATTTGAATGAATGATTAATTTATTAATAATCTATTAAAAGATCGATATCGAAAAGTACTGTCACTTTCGCACGATGTGTTAGTTCTTGTAAAATGTAAGATGTGTAACTAATATGTTAAGAGTGCCATGTACAGTAAATTAATATGTTACATGAAAATTACTTTTGAAACCTTTGAGACTGAATTGTAGTTTTTTAACAGGAGTTATACAGAAAATTTGAAATTAAAAGTAAAATTTCCCTACTAGAACTATATAAAACAAGTTTAAACAAACAAAGCATGGTTTGTAGTATAGCACTGAATTCGGTTGCTCAAAAACACTGATAATCATGAACCGTACGAGTGCAATGCATATCTATCTATCTATCTGTCTATCTATCTATCTATGTGTGACAAGCAAATTTTAGTTAGACACTCATAGATAAACCTACAAAAGTCTAGTAACTCACACAGATTGACATTGCGCCGGTTTTACCCTGTCAAACCGTGTCACTGTCTGGGAAACCCCTTTCCTGTCTACTCACATTGACATATGACTGGACTCGGTAGAGAATTACGGTAATTAACTGAAACCGCAACACGTGATTATGCAAGGCTTCGCAGGATGAAGGCAATACGAGCCCGACGGTTTAAATATTAGTCTAGTGAGATGAGTTTAAAATGTAACGTGATTATTCCCAATAAAACTTGGTATAGATTACGAAAGCGTCTGACACATTTATAGCTGCGGCATTTACTAACACTGCAGTTAAAACCTTAAAAATATGAGGCCATGCGTAATTTTGCTTCCAAGAATGTGCATTGAAAGCACATAAATTATATGTAGAGGTTATACCTCATATGTGGTCATAATACTTAACAGAGATGCGGAAACGGATGCCGAAAGGCTGAGCATATGGGCCTACGGTTTTAAATCGTATTGCTGTAGCGGTATTAGTTTTATGTGAAGGCTTTAACTATAACAGGAAGGTAGTATCGAAGTAATAGTTTGTTATCATACCAGCAAGCACGGGTTACCGTGAGTGAGGATACCTAAGCGTGTGGTGTCTTCAAGGCGACAGCTATCCTTGTAAATATTAACCCAAAGAGCGGCCGTAGCCGGCAATTAATGATATGAACTGGTGGCATAGTTACCGTCACCAATCAAGACTTTCTCAGACATATTTGACAAAAAAAGTCTCCCTAAGCCTTACTGGAAAATGCACATACAACTCATGAATATTTTTTTCTTTAAAGAAAAAAAAATCGCAGTGTGTGGTTAATCACAACAGCAACTAAGTTTGTTAGCTAACTCCGCTAGTTTCCCAGTTACTGTGGACCAAACACCAAACAAACAGTAATTGATCAGCAGACAGTAGATTACAGAATAGTTATATGAAGGCTGCAGGTTCAGTCATGGAGAGAGACTCAGTTTATCTTAAAGTGCTGTAGTAAAAAAGTGAGATATACAGGACGATTGAAATAGTATTTACCATTAAACTGTCATCTAAGCAACAAATAATAATGAGAAAACTTATTTACAGAAGAAACATAAATAGACCCAATTAAGCTAGTTTTTGTTTTTAACATTACAATAAAATAGGATCAGATTTTTGGATGAATGTTAGTAATAAGTCTGAGTGCCGCCAGACCGACTGGGGTGCGTCACGGGGTTTCAGCTTTTTCTCATCTGACCCTGTACCTGCGGGTATCTCCGAACTGCGAGATTTGACAGATCAGATAGGCTACCCCGCAGCCGGCGCAGAAACCCAACGGTAACGGAAAGCACTGTTAACCCATAATCAGCTTGCACCATATAGCTCACAACCTGTACGATATAAATGTTGTTACACTTAAAATCTGATGTGTTTAGAAAAAAATGATCATAGAAAGATATTGTTGACTGGCACATTTTAAATAGATTTTTAGTACCTGTTAGTCTGTTCCTTAGCATAATAAGGATTGTCAAATGACTAAGCCAGTGCTAAGACTGGAATGGAAATGAGCTCATCTAAATGCTAGCATTAGGTGTCTGTGATGAGACATAGACGCAGCTTAAGAAGTATTTTTTTCTGATTAGAAGGGAGAAAATCCTGATTTTGATCTTACCCGCGATCAGAGAAATCCAGACCTTCTGGACATCCGAGGCTGGATAGTTCCACTCAGTTTGCCCCTGGGGTCTCCAGGGCTGGTTGTCTGACATGCCTTCATAGGAGTGCACTTAGGGGGGCAAGACCGGGACCCGTGACTGTCAGAGCCGGCGAGGCACCAAGGGAAGATGCACACCGGAGGGGAGGCAGCTGGCGACTGGCTCCCGGAGCGAGCAAGCGAGCAGGCACGCGTGCAGAATGCACTGAGGCCTTTCCCAGCACGCGGGGCAGTGGGACACTGGCTCCGGTGACAGGCTCACGTTACTGAAACAGAGCTGCCCTCACATACAGCTTCAGTTTCATCCCAGGTCAGGTGTGAATTTCAAGTCTCTCCCAGGTCCTGCTCCGATTTATCAGCCTAGCATTCTTGCTGCTCTTTTCTACTTTGCAGGCACTGATCTGTCTCAGAATCATTTGTCCGTCTGTCTTAAGGTTTGTTGTCTATGCTTTGGGAGACAAAGTTCTCCTGCATGTCACTCCAAGGGCAAGGAGGCCCCCCCCCACCCCCCACTACACTCGGAGATCTGATACCCTAAGATGTTGACATCACGGAAAAGTCAGGGCCCAGCGCTCGCTGTGAACCTCTTGTTCTACCTTTTTGTTCTTCTGGCTCGGGGGTGGTAACCTCGGGGCGGGGAATTGGCCGGCCAGACAGACCCTCTTCTCTGTACTCACACCAGTTTGACTTCTCACAAAGCTACATTTCTGCCATGTCAATTGAAAATGAGGTGAAACAGGACAGCATCACAAAGATATGAAACAGCAGGACAGGACTAAGCACAGCATACTAAGGGCAAACATTTTAGTCAATCTTCCTCAGGCTGTTCTGTTCCCATGGCATGCGCAGTGTACCTTAACTTGAGAGGAGCACACTGCCTGCCGTTTACCCTTCCCTTCCCAGTAAGGAAGCTCCGGACACAAGCTGCCCGCTAACAACAGCTCCGTATAACTTGGGGCAGCTAATAGTCAGAGGTTACATGCAAACACAGAACCTTTGCTAAATCAGCCAGCATCAAATGGCACTGTTTGCAAAGCATATCACCACCGCATCACTTTATTACCAAATAGCCTTCCATGCATCTGTAAGTCTGGTTCAACTAATATCACTTATTTGAAGCATATATTCACTACAAATAATGGTGGTTTCCAATGAGTTACATGCTCTTTTGTGTTACACATGTACAAGTTTGATACAGTTTCCCTGCTAACATAATACCAGTGGGCAGGGAACATAACTCAAACTCCCCCATTAGAGTAGGAACACTTTCTGTTCATTAAATCACCGTTACATGCGCCACACTGAACACCAAACTTTCCAAAAATTGACGGACCCATTGAAATTAAGGAGACTTTTCAGGAAGGGGGCTTGTATCTATTTTTTAGGCTTTTAACTACTTGTTAAATTCATTCTGACGTCTCAGAAGACTGTACACCGTCTTATGAAATCCCCATAACAAGACCCCCAGTTAGAACTCATTTCATACTGCGTTTGGTCATAGAAACCAGAGCCCCGTACCAGTCAGGAGGAAAACCTGCTTTTAAATAAATGAGCACAGCAATAGTTCCCAGTAATGCATCACCATTTTAATGTAAACCAAATCTGTATGGAAACTTACAAATCAAAAGAAAAAGTATTTCCAAGAGCAGATCCTATATTCTAGACTTTACAATATTTCCAAAGTGTTTATCCTATATTCTAGACTTTACAGACATCCTTGGGCTTTGCACAGATCTGAAAGAGAACACAGGAGATGAACCCTGTCTGGGTCACCTGGAGGAACAGATGTGCAGGACAGGCCCTGAATCAAAGCACAGGGCCAAGCAAGGGCCTCCCGTCAGCTGGATGTAACCCCCACCCCCTCAGATTCAGGCTCGTATAAACCCCTGACCCCAGTGAAGGGCATCCATCTCGCCCACCTCCCGCAGCTGAGACAAAAACACAACGGAACCCAAGATCTTCCTGCCCCCGCACAACAAAAGGAACAATGACTCAGGCCTAACCTACACCATCTGTCTCCTAATAGCACACAGAGCCAGCACAGGCCTACCTAGCCGATACTTAACAAGGGCTGCTAGCAAGGCCAAAGCCTGGAGATTGTAATGGGGGCTAAAAGAAAAACCACGCAATGCCAAGGCAGATTATGCAAGGCCAGGGGGTTTCGACATCCTGAAGCGGGCTCTGCAGGAACCTAGGGGCTCCACCGTGGGAAGCCACATTAGTTATGTAGCCGAGACCGGCGATGATCCATCAGCCAGACCTCGGCACTCAAGAAGACCTGCGAGGAGGAACAGCATGAGTACCATATAAATAAAACTCAGGTATACAACCTGTTACATGAGGTAAAAGCCTCACCCCACCCCTCATGGTGCAAGCTGGGGGCCCTTAACTAAATGGTTTAATACGAGTACTTCATCTGCAGTGAAATAACCTTGAGATAAGACCCCACATTGCTTCAGTTATGAGCAGAACCAGTGAAACCTCACACTAAATCACACCTGCACCCATTGGCCAGCTCGAGAAATTATGCAAATAATTAACGGCAATAAACCAATGAAATGGATTTCTCCTTCCTAAGGAATTGGACCATTTCAAACAAAAAAAAAAACCTGCATGCATTCTGCCCTGTGTGGATCATGCCCTTTAACACCACAGTGATTTGGGAGAGACCAATTACAGGGACATCGAACAAAAACCTTAAATAAACAGCATAAGTTATCCAGCCGGAGACAAGCACAGAGAAACTTCATCGAATTAATCGAATCAGGACGACCTACTCTGCTTAAGAAACAGTAAATGGTCACCAGGTTAATGAAAACCAATCCCACTTGACAGTAAAGTACTGTGCTTTGTTGCAACGTCGCATTCTTGTGGCAAAAACAATTTAGCTTCAAAAACGTTGAGAATTTATATAACAATCACCTTTCAGTCAGTTACATCCCTCATTCAGGGACAGAGAGGAAGGAAAAAAAAAAATCAAAGAATGGATTTATTACAGTGTAAGGCAATACCCTGAGTAACAGAAGCCAAGAAAATACAAGGACATGGGGCAGGGCGGGGGAGGGGGGGTATAGCTTTAAGGGGTTTAATCAAAATTCACTTTATGGGGAAAAAGTTCCGTCCGTAAAACCGCAACCCAAAAAAAAAAAAAAAAAACCGAAAACAGCGCACAGTAGTTTATCTGCTACAGTCTTCCTGGCCACAGGCTGGCATGAGGCGTATGGCGGCTGGAAGCGAAGGCAAAGGCGTGAGTCAGACCCCCGCCCGCCTCAGAGGCTGGGGTTGGAGGCTCCCATCCCGTGGCACTCGATGATATACGTCTCACTGCTGGAGCTCTCGTCCTCCGCCTTGGTCACAGAAAACTTGGCCTATAAGGCGGCGGAAGGCAGAAAAGGGACACTTAGGGAAACAGGAAGCCCAGGGGCCGGAGAAGGCGCCGGCAGCAGAGACAGCAGAGGCCAGACTGAGACTCAGGCAAGACGTCTTACTGGAGACTCCAGGGGATAAAACTGGCAGCTACTCAGGAGAACATAACAGATCAGATTATTCATGCAACTACTTGGGCAGATTTTCGTCAGTTTATAACGAAGAGTCACTCACATTCCAGCATGAAACCAGTAGGCCAACAATTCATGAGAAAAATAATGACCCGGCACTTTAACTGAACTCCCAGAAACATCCCGAACCGGGCACACCGACCACAGACCCTCATTGGGGCAAAGCTCCCCCACCCCCCCATCCAGGTAGACGATAACCCGCTGGTACATACGTAGTGCTGACCAGGCACGGTGCATCCATTTCAGGTGGACCGTCATTTCATTTCACAGCATATCTGTGTTGGACTTACCGTAGTGAGCTGCTCAGCGACGTGGATGGCGGTCTGCGTGTGCAGGGTGACTGGGCCAGTCCGGATCCTGGACGTGCCCTTGGCTAGCGCCATGTAGATGATGAGCTGATGACCGGAGACAGAGCCGCCATTGAGCGTTTCATGTTTCACGCCAGGCAGGTGTACAAGACGCACGTCTTCACTGTGTGTGCTAGCTGAGTCCTCACCTGGTCTTGAAGGAACTCGTCCACGCAGCCGGTGTGCCGGATATTTCTCAGCAACATCTCCGCGGCTTCCACACCCACCTTGTCAGCATAGACCCCTGGGTGAGGCAGAAGGGAAAAGACAGGGGTCAGACTACTGATGCATACCAGCCACTCGTAGTTATAGGAAAGCAATGCTTCTTTGAAGAACCAGACCTACTAATGAACCCACAATGAATCAAATCACCTTTAGGTGAATAAAATTTAATAAAACATGTGTTTACTTGAAAAACGTCCATCATTTTTTCTAAAAATATTTAGTCTTTCAAATATCTGCAATTGTATGTGCTTCACTACCTGTCCATAAATACTTAATGCAAGCGAAGTATTGAGTAATGATTTGCAGCATATCGCCATCTAGTGGTAGGGATGAGTATATATTTGAGGGAAAAAGAACATGGCTGCCACACTACACACCACTTTAGCACAAGGACATGAACCAAAAGCCTCACCTTTTTTACCCAGTGAAGAGCCAGCAAATATACAGCCAGTGGAGGACTCTGCGATGATTCTGAGTAGGAATAAACAAAGGTTTGGTCAGCAGCACCTCTTGACAGAAGAACAGCATCCTTAAATTACAGGGCCTTCCAGAGGATATCAATGCAAAAACAGATTGATATTTTCCTTGAATGTCAATCAGCAGTCAGTCTGAGTCCTGAACCACAACCCTGCACAAACCCTGTACACACAGAGGTTCTGACAGGGGTTTCGTGTCGCGAGGGGAAACAGGACGGGTTGAGAGCGGACACTCACATGATGCCGTTGCCATTACCGCAGGCCTTATCCTTCTCCTGAAGAGCCTGGATATTGATGTACAGGTCTTTGATCTCCTTCCGGATGGTTCTCACTGCTGCCGTTGACATGTCTTTGGCAAGCTAGTTTAATGGGATTGGGGAGAGTTATAAATATGGGAATAAAGACCACCCCCCACGTCACTTGACCTTGAGGTTTCATCCATCCTGCTTCTGTGAAACACACGTATAAAACAGTGACACAAACTCACATTACGAGCGGGTTTTAGAAGCATGGGCTAAGCACTAACATGCAAGGATGTAAACCAGGTGCTCTAATTTTGGCACACAAAGTCCACAGGGTCACCCCTGGATACCTTGAAAGGAAGAACCCCAGCGACAAAAGCCCTGCCGTAGATCTTGGTGATGTTGCCCCTCTCTGTCATGTTGACAGGACTCAGCTCCTTCACAGGGTTGACCTTAACCACCACCTCACCACCCCCCTTGGGGTAATATCCCCTGTCAGAGAGAACAGAGCTTGAGTTTCCATCCACAGTCACTAAAACATGAATGCAGACACACACGCAATCAGAGGCGGATAGTCCAAGTAATAATCCAGACCAAGATTTCAGTTGAGGACTCTGTGACTGTGACTGACTTTATACTCAACTGGCTGGTTGAAACAAAATCTTCATCTGGACTTTTACCGTCTGGACCTGAACTTGAAGACCACACAATCTAAAAAGAAAGCTGAGTCCAGCTTCCTCAACCTTGTGGGTGTATCACTGAGAACACCCCACCGTAAAAAATTATTCAGAAACATGCTAGACGGCTCGATGAAAGCAAAAAAAAATTGCTGAAATTAAATGCCACGTTTTACCTCATTTTTACATCACAATCAAAATAGACCCCGAATTTCTCCACGATGGGCTTGAACACCTGAAAAGACAATGTACACCATCAGATCACCACATAAACCCCTGAAAGACACATTTCAGCAGCCCACAGCAACCAGCAAACCCCTACCTTCACGGTGTAGTCGATCTGAGGGGCCATCTCCGCGTTGGTGCCACCCTTCAGGCAGAGCTCTGAGGGCCCGCCAGCAAACAGGGCGCAGGGCAGCGACACCTGCAGCAGCAGTGCGACGCTCCTGCAGCAGGTGAGAACGGGGGACAGGTACTCAGACTGCAAGCAAACCCCCAGCACAACTCAGAACTACTGCCACTACACCAGCAGACGTTTTACTGAAGGGTTTCATTTTTATGAAATGCTTAAAAATAAAACGAGCCAACATAAAATTCAATATTTTTTTCCATTTAAATATAATCTTACTAAGTCACATTTATTTACTGATTTTTGATTTAATTCAATATTGGCTCTTAAATGTTATTCTGCAAATTAAACATCTCGAATAATCGGCACAATAAGGAAAATTAGCATTTGTGTGAAAGCCTGTTCCTACCCCGCTGTCTGGGTGTCTGCAACGTGACTCCCACCCTTAATTTTGCCGGGGGTTAACGTGATCTCTGTGGATCCCACCACGGCGCCCTCCAGATTCCCGTCAGTCATGTCCCTCACAAGCTCCAAACCCGACAGATGCTGGGGCCTGGAGTGATGGGGGGCGGGGGGGGGGATTACATTCAAAAGAAAGTCCGTCTGGTGGTTCTCATTCATTTCCTTCTGGTTTAAATATCGGTCGTTAAACTTGTACAAAGCAATGGGTTTAACAAAAAAGTGCATAATGTTTTTACGACATATTCCACATCGACATTAACACATGCATGTACTTCATTTTCACGATTTCAAATTTATGCTCTGGTTTCCAACTCAAAAATATCCTATTAATGATATGTCCAAAATTGTACTTGCCAACTTGAAGACAGCATTACCGCCGGATACAATGCACCCAGAAACCTTTAAATATGGCTTTCCCTATCGTAAATTAAACTAAGTAGAGTAGCCATGTGCCTACGCGTTAACTAACAAAGGATCATATGAAAAATGTATGAGGGCCGGATCTCTCTTTAACGGGGGAGTGAAAATAATGCGAAAGTGAATAAAACTGCGACCCCCACGTAGTACAGCGGAACTGTCACCACCAGCTGCGGGGGATTGTGATTCGGGATCCGGCAGATGCGGGAAGAGCAGGGCGAAAAAATCAACTTTGCTTTGTTTGGCATTGGGCTGAAGTTGGGGGGAGCAGCCCGGTCTCCCTACACCCCAGGCAGATCGGCTATCTCCGCATTACGGCACGACCGCAGGGACACTGCAGCAAGTCTTTGGTTAACGGGAGAACTCGGAAGAAGTTGAAATTCAACGTTACCTTAATCCCGGCGTACTTCTCCCTGCACGGATTTTGTTTATTTTGATAGGGGAGCCGTGGACGCAACTCAGCGCAGCGGACAGTCTCAGGATCTGCCCCCCCTAAGAGAAAACAGACGCATTAGCATACGTGGGGAAAGCAGGGCAGCAAATATCCACCAAAGTTGATTCCATAATCATTTTCTTGATTTGTACCATAGGAAAATAAGAAAAAATCGATCAGCGGTTCAGCGCTTACCCCCTCCATTACACTTCCGTCCATCTCGAACGTCGTTGCGGCCATTTTTCTGGAAGGACGAAAAGTAGCGATACGAACTCCGAAATCCCGCAGTCCGAGGAACCACGGAGTAGATCTTAAGCAAAGACAAAGCAGCCCGGACTCTCAGCCCCGATCCAAGCACCAGCCTCGGCGACGCGCTCCCAGTACCGCAGACCGGCGAATCGGCGCAAACAATAATGAGCGAACCGCGAACTTCCCACCAGTCTTTGCGCTCACCAATTCCCCCAGTTTGCCAGATCCTTTTCTTTCTTTATACGCACTGTCACTGCAACCTCTGTCGCTCCCTGTAGTGGATAAAAGCTCCTCTTATTATTTCGGACACCTCCAAAAACAATCTTCTCTTCCGCCCCCCCAGTGAAAAGTGAGCGTCCTGCGAGTCAGCGGCAGTTTGTGTGGCAGCCCCTGTCTGTGCATGCGCATGCGCAGCAGAGGCGCCTATTTCACTGCATTGTGTGACAAAGTTGGGAGACAAGAAAGGACTTTGGGACATGTGGAAAAGGCTCGCCAGACGCCCGACCTTGTGCTGCACAATAAAAAGGAGACTTCCTATTCAATCGCATAATAGCCTATCCCCACCGTATACTGTATAACTGTTTTGTCTGTGAAATGGTGATAATGTCAACTTGTTTTCGAAAATTTAATACCTCTTGTATATGGATATGCCTCTGTTTTTTTTTTCTTTTTGGTTTTATTTTCAAGATTTGGGCTGACCGTAATAATCCCATGTCACTTTCTGTTGTTTCAAAATTTCTCAGCCAAAACATCTCGCTCAAAAACGTAAAAAAGTTTAAAATGATTGAATACTTAGTAGTAGGCCTACTTTATGTTTTTATAAAAGTAATTTTAGTTATACGTGTATTTTAAAGCCTACCTGTATCATCTTGTCTTTCTATAACTGAAATCATTGAGTCTATTGAATAGTATTTCCTAAAGGATATCTCCATAATGTATTAACCCCCAAAACAACAAAACATATATTACACCCGGATGTGTCGATATTGTTTTCTAATTTCTATTACCCATTTATACGTCCGGGTTTTGTCATTTATGTTGTTTTACTTTTTTAACCATTTCCAGGATTGATTAGAAGATGGATGAATGGAAGGAATTGTTTGAATTCGGATAAATTGTATTTATCCGAATTTATAAGCGTCTTCTTTGACCTGGAAACTATAATATGTGAAAGAATTTTTACTGACGTTACATACAGTATACAGTATTTTTTAAAACTGACATCTTATCAAGTATAATAATGCACCTTGGCGTGAAAGTGCAAAGTTTTAATTATGGGAACATTCAGCAACAAGTGTAACAGTTTCTATGACTATTTGCATGTGTGGATATGTCGTCATGGTTAATGAACGGCGCAAAACACCTTGTGGCTTTTCATAACGCAGGCAGTTGATAAAAGATACAGGAAGTAGGTTTCTCTCCTAAAACAGGTGTTTAATGGAACCCAAAAGTATGTTAGGCTGCTACTCAAACTGCAACTACTCATTCAATCTGACTATCCTCAATTAATTTATATATCACAAACAATAGATAAATAGACAAACAAACAGACACATTTTTATCTAAATGGATCTAAATCGATCTCTAATCTCTAACAAGTTTTGAGTGGATTTACAAGCAAAATTTCACTTTTGGGATCTGAACCGAAAGACTGGTCATATTTGTAACATTTCCATCATTATTCCATGAAAATGATTTTGTGATATTGTGGTCTGTGTGGTCTGAACCCGTAAAATTGTCAGAATTACAGTTTTAATTACAAGTACTTTCTTGCACGACCTGCCGCTTTACTGCTAATTACACACTATGGATATTTATGAATATTGTTATATTTATTGTTTAATGTATAATATCATGTGTCTTTATACTTGTGTCCATTTATAATTATGTCTCATATGTTTTTCCTCTGTTCACAGTCTGCAGCTAAGCAATAACTCATTTCACTGCACAGTACTATGTGTATGTGACAAAACTTTGAAACTTGATGTTAAATGTAATCTGTGTTCTTCAGTGTTGTGCCTAGAGCCTCTGTTAACAGGAAAATATTAACAGGTTTCACAATGGTAACATTAACTAATAGCAGTATTGATCATCTGGTCGTCTTTCATGTGTCATGGAAATTTCATTCTGCATTGAACAAAAGCTTTACAGCTGCATTACAGCCCGTGCTTTGGGTAGCTCTGTGGCATTGCCTCAGGGGGGAGCCTCCCTCACAGTATACACACACAGACAGGGAAACACACCGTGACATGGAAGGAGAACAGGAGGTACAAAGGACCAGGGTTTATTTACGGTGTTCCCATGGAGACGGGAGACAAATGGTGCTCTTATTAAAAACATGTAAAGCACCATGTTACTTTACAATGCTGGCATTCTGGTTTGGAGTTGAGTCTGATCTGGAATTACGGCACTAAAGTATAGCTAGAAGTACAAGTTATAAATGACTTTTTCAGAAAATATTGTTGTAGATAATACAATAATTTGTTTCCAATTTAAATAACCGTACTATGGAAGAGTGTTCATTAAATAAATGCAGTTACAAAATTCTGGCTATAAAAAAAAAATTAAAAATGTGAGCATGGTGGAGCCCTGTCCATTAGGAAGACACAGCAGAACCACTCACATGTTAAAAATGTTTCACTTGTTACAGCCTGGTTTCTGTCCACCAGTCAAATACCAGGATCAGAGTCCATGGCCCTTCGAGGTTATTACATCTGCATCTTCAAGGTGGTTGACTGTCCCTTCAGAGCAGGGGTGGGGAACCTGTTCCATGGAGGGCCAGTGTGGGTGAGAGGTCATCTCAAAAACCTGCAGTCAGCCAATAATAAAGCAGTGGTTCTCAACTCCAGTCCTGGGAACCCACTGTTATTGGCTGATTGAAAGGCCATCCCAAAAACCTGCACCCACACCGGCCCTCCATGGATCAGGTTCCCCACCCCTGCTTCAGAGGCAGAGGGAGTGTCTTGTTTCTTTGTGTCATGGAGAGCAAGATGGGGCAGGAGAAAAGAGGATTTCCCCACAGGAATCAATAAAGTATCATCATTTCATTTCATTTAGGCCTACCAAAGTTCAGCTCCATAGTATTCAACAAAACATGCAGCTACATGAACTGGTGCCTCTTAAATGGCCAGAGTATGTGATGGAGCACTATCCTGTGAGTGGCTATGTTCCTTATCAGAGATACCCATAAGCCACCGTGTTGCCTGTAAGAACAAAAACAATAACATTTACTTGCTGCAATTTAGCTGTTTATAGGTTCTGCTGAAACGGACTAAAATCTGTTTTGCATTTTGACAGCCCCTGGTATGTAGTATTGATTGACATCATGGAAATACTTATTGCTAAAGTGAACACATTGTATTACTTTCCACATCAGATAACTATCATGCCAAATCTCTTGCCCTATCCGGATTCCTTCCCCCTGTGATGTATCGTTCAGCTCTAGCTCCGTCACACCCAACCCCATTCCGGTTCACGCAATCGCAGAACAACTCCCCAGCTCTGAAGCTCCCCCCTCTCAGGACCCAGCTGACCCACGCATGCGCAAAAGAGAATCAAACGAAGACAGCTCAGTAATATCGTCGATATGGAATCTGAAGAGAAGGACCCAAGTTAATTTATTTCGATAGGTATGGAGCAGTTTAGTAAAGAATTTCATGTAAAATCATTCCAACATGTAAATGTTCATGCTTAGCAGTGGATTATGACAAAGTGAACGTTTCATTACGCCACTAACATTGTTTGTATATTGTTGGTGATGTTTCAGATGAGTGACTGGAAAGTGCTGGGTTTTCACCATAAATTCATGTTTATTTTATTCAATTTTATTTCAATTCCATAGCTGTTTTTACTATATTTATTATTACCTTTCTATTATTTATTTAGTTTTTTATTGTTAAAAAATAAGTTCACAATAAATTTCACAGCTGCCTTCTATTACATGATTTTCTACATTATCAGGGTATGTCAGGTCTATCATAAAACAAATTGTTTTGATGTTTTCAGGCATAGAATAGGTACATGCATAAATAATTCTTAGGGAAAAAAATGAGCCATTCTTCACGAGTTTAACTTTCATAGCTTACACATGATATGTAACAGTATCTTAAAATCACCTTATGTTTTGTTTAGAATCTGCAGGATCCAAATCATATTAACATATTGATAAATTATCTAGGCAGGAATTTGACAAGAAATCGTTGATAACTGCCATGATCAATAAAAATGTTATTTGCGTTTTTGTTGTGTGAGATTATAATATATACTCACAAACACTAAAACCTTAAACAGTAAAAACAAAATTGAAATAAATATTAAATGTTTAGATTTAGAATAAATTGAAAATAATAATACACACCTTTTTAAATATTCGTAAACATATTTTATTGATGTGAGGCTTGCTGCTGCGGTAAGAGTGAACTTGCAACTTTTGTTGCAGGTACTCGACCCGAAATCAATGGAAAAGCAGATATCCCACCTTAGGGATAACGATTTCAAAGAGGCAGATGAGGGGCATCCAGGATTTCTAAAACGCTTCAAATCATTATAAGATATATTTTTCTTCAATATCACTATGTAATTATGGGACTAGTTCAAATTATCACAAAACCACAAGTTCGATGGCATATCACAGCAGCGAGAGCACTATGCACGAGAGAAAACACACAGCCGCTAATATGAATGATGGGCTGCCAGGATAAACAAAACCACTGTAAATGTTGTCTATCCATGTTTATTAAATTAGTTCTTGCTGGTTAATTTTACCTGCGGTGAATACAGGAGTAGTTGATGATGGATGACTGAAGGAAATACCTGGCGAACAACTCTCCGAATGGAACGTACCAGTTCCTGATGCAGCGGGAGGTGACTGGGAGCAGGGGCGTAGCCAGGGTTAGAAAAATACTGAGGTGCGAGACCCAGGGGTAAGGGGGTCTCATCAATCACACAATACATACAAGAGGCTTGTTTTCTGGGGGATAAGCAGTGTTTAATGAGAGTTCATATCAATTAATTGATAGTTTAGGTTACAGCAAGTTACGTGGCGCTATTTAAATGTGTCTCACTGAATGAATTTAGGTCTGTATCATTAGAACATAATCGAGCAGTAAAATATTACGGGTATGAAGCATGCAATTTCAGGTTATTTGTAACCATATAAAGGTAAGATAATGATATGTCTTTCCTAATGATATGCAGCATGCGCACCCCCCTCGCAATGCTGTACGTGCGGTTCGTGAGTCGCGCATCCTCCTTCATGCTCTCGCGCTCTCTCTCTCGCTCTCTCTCTCTCTCTCTCACACACACACACACACACACACACACACACACACACACACAGCAGACACTATAGATAACACATTTGAATTGTATTAAGAATTCACTTGACCCGCAGACATTTTCAATTTCAATTGTTGATTTTTTTATTATTCAGGTCAATATTTATCTTCAAATATTATTTTTAGCTCTTAAAAAATTACCGATGTTCGGATTTCGGTGACCTCATATCTGGCTGTGGCCCTGTTTAGGAGCGCTCCCCAGACGAAGACGTATCCACTGAAGACGTACTCACAAAGACAAGCAGGCACAGAACGGTACATACATCCAGATGGAAACGGTGACCCAAAATGGTCGAAATGTAAAACAAAAGAGTGCGAAAGACCTACGAACAAACACACTTGACTTACGATTGTGATCTTCCTGGCGTCTTTCACATTCATTTTTAAAGGGTCCGCTTGCTGAACCTCTGCCCAGCAGTCACTGTGCCCTCTGAAGCTGTCCAATAGCATTATACTGCCGGGGCAGCTGGGAGAAGTAGTCATTTTTAGGCAAGAGGACAGCGCAGGAAAATTCACTTCTGCTTAGTGAGGGGAAAGAAGTATATTTGCACATCGATTCAGATAATGTTTGGTAATACTTCGAGACTTATCGCAAAGACCAAGGCAAGTTCAAGACAAAGTGGGCTCAAGGCCGAAATTAGGTCGACCTGATCTCAAGAACTACAACTCTAGCAGTACCTCAGTCTATACGTGTATCGTGGTGCGTACACTTTTAAGGGAATTGGTGGTGACCGTCCTTCAAAGCCGGCGTGGGATTGGCTTTTGTAGAGGGGTGTGAACTTTGCGTCAGTTCCTGCCGAGCAAGGAATTCGGGCTAAAGATGGCGGCATTTGCAACATTTAGAGGTTCATTCAAGTTAATGAGACGTTTGGTATGATTTGAATTCTTTTTCAATCCTTTCATGACATGATTTATTATGTTATGCGACTGCCGTTTGATTTTACAGATTGACTAACTGCATGATATACTGAAATGTAAGCGATCGAAACGTTCTTGTTGTGCAATGCATGTCAGCTAGCAACTTAATGGGTAGTCAAACAGCTATCGAGTGTCCTACTAGATGGATGGATGACTGTTCTGTGCGATATTTTATGACCTAGTTGTATGGATGTTAAACTTGGAGTTCCTGTTAAGTAAACTGGAATCAAATAGTCATGCAAGATGAGGAATGGTTGAATGATCATACATAGTTAAATTGATATTTTGTTTCTGCTACATTTTATGCATGAATAATTATCTTTATGGCTAAATTTACATTTCAGAATCTTAACCTGTGCTTCTCATTGGTCTAGTGATTTTGCCGGTCGTGTATAACCCGCAACGTTTTGCTCTGGATCTAAAAGCCAGTGTTTCTGCGTTCTTTTGCAGCTCTCTCTACAGTACTATAAACATTGCTGCTCAAGAGTGCAAGTCGTACGACCGGAATATTCAGCCCATCGCATTCACTTTATGTGCCTGCCATATAGGAGTTTTAAGACCAGTAATTGTAAGTGAACTTGTTTTTCAAACTGCCGTTCATATTAAAGCATTGCTATTCTCGCGTTAACGATGTATTGTTTTTTTAAGGTAATCCCGGCCCGATTTTTCAATTTAAACTTTCGGACATTGGGGAGGGCATCCGGGAGGTGACGGTGAAAGAATGGTAAGTTTGTTCCCCGACAATGTCAACTCAAAACGCTTTACAAGCGGATTGTGTCATGCCAGCCACAGACTGCAGATGGCATTGTAGTTGATTATAAGTCGCGAGAACTGTCTTTGTAGCAATCGGACTGTTTAGTATTAATTATAAGTGTCTAGATTAGTTTTCAGATGAATCAGAGTGCAACGTTTTGTGGGGTTACTTGGTCAGTTTTATGGTTTCTTTTTGAAGATTAGTCTTACATATTACTCTATTAAAGGCTTAATGACTTGAATCTAAACGGTACCTGGAGAAAGTGTCAGGACTTTCAGCTTAAGATTAAGATTGACTTTATTGATCCTAGGGGGAAATTCTGATGTTTATGGCAGCAGGAACGTATTGCCCAAACGAACATACAACAACGTTTGCAAAAAAATTGGGACGCTGTGTAAAATATACATAAAAACAGAATGCAATGATTTACAAATCATATAAACCCATATTTAATTGAGACAACATATCAAATGTTGGAACAGAGAAATTTTGTTTTATTAGAAATATGTGCTTTATTTAAATTTAATACCAGCAACATGTTTCAAAAAAGTTGGGACAGGGGCAACAAAACACTGGAAAAGTTGTATAATGCTAAAAAAAACATCTGGTTGAATATCTCACATCTAATGAAGTTAAATGCCAGCAGGTCAGCAAGATTACTGGGCATAAAAAGAGCCTCCCGGAGAGGCAGAGTGTCTGTGCAGTGAATATGTGGAGAGGTTTACCACTCTGTGAAAGACCGTGTGGGAAAATAGTGCAAAAATGTAAGAATAATGTTCCTCAGTGTAATACTGCATAGAATTTGGCATACTGTGCAGGACAGACAATGCACAAAGACAGTATATATGGTGCAAACAAATTTTAAAAGTATGTACTACACATAGAATATCTTGAAAAAAGATTTTTTTAGTATTATATAAATACTTACAGATAATAAATTAGACATGGTATTAGAGATAGCAGATAGCACCGGATTTGCATTATTATAAACATGGGTCACTTCCTAACTTGTTTTGGCTGGCGGTCAGGAGGAGGCGCCGTAGTGCCTGATGCCAGTGGGCAGGAACCATGTTTTAGCACATTGCGGTGGCTAAATGTGCTCCAGTATAGCGCCCCCTAAAGCAGATGAGCAGAATTATTCATAATATTCTCCCAATTTTGCCAACATCCTCTCCTCCAGTGACTCCAGTGGGTACAGGGTCAGCCCTGTGAGGGAGCTGGCCTTCCTGATGAGTTTGTTCAGGTGTTTGAAAGTACATTAAATAAAGTTAAAGCACTTTGAATAAATTTTTGTCCACTTGTAGCTGGTTTTAATTGCGATGTTTCTTAGCTTTTATATACATTCCTGCCCTAATCAGTTACCTTCTTTGCACTCCCACGCCAGGTATGTGAAAGAAGGTGACAAGGTGTCCCAGTTCGATAGCATCTGTGAAGTGCAGAGTGACAAAGCATCAGTGACGATAACCAGCCGTTACGACGGCGTCATCCGTAAGCTTCACTACGACGTGGACTCCATCGCGCTGGTGGGAACGCCGCTCGTGGACATCGAAACCGAGCCGACTGAGGGTACGAGTGTGACTTGTGTCTTGTTTGAGAGTACTCTGCTTCCAATTATTAGGGTCACTGGTCTGTAGCCATTGTACAGACTGGCTGTTGGTTATCAGTGATCAGTGTTTTGGGGACAGGGATGATAGTGGATGTCTGGAGACTTGATCAGAACAGTGCATCGTTCCAGAGATTGGTTGAAAATGTCTGTGAATACTTGGGACAGCTGATCTGAACAGTGGCAGGTAGCATCTGGTCAGGACCAGCTGCTTTCCTAGTATTCTGTTTTTGACTTGGTGATTCACATCCATGTCAGCGATGACAAGGTGAGAGCAGGAAACTGATATTCTGTAGTTGGGGTGAAGATGTAATATTCACATCATGCTGGGGGAGGGACTAGCATTGTTCTTCAAAAAGACAGTAGAAGTTATTGAGACGATTAGCTAATTCTGGGTCCCCACTACACATCAGCCACTTTTCCTCAGTTTCTGATGTTCTCATGACCTCACTATACTGTCCTGCTGTTATCTGAAAACATTCCATAGTCTCGCATGTCTATGTCTTAACCCCCCCCCCCCATTACTTAAGATTTATGATGGGGGGGAGCATGAAAGGTCATATAACAACAACATATTCAGTGTGTTTGATCAGCCTGGTCGGAGGGAGGGGGGGGGGTCTTTTGTGGTCTTTTTGTGGGTTTTTTTTTTTTCTTTGTGTGAAAAATGATAATGCTTCCCCTACACCTCCATCGCTCTCCCCCTCATCACTCTGCGTGTTTCAATACGTGACGTTACCCTCCGTCTCTGCAGAGGAAGCTCCGGAGAAGGATGTTGTCGAAACACCAGCAATGTCCCACGAAGAACACACCCACCAGGAGATCAAGGGACACAAGACTCAGGCCACACCCGCTGTCCGCCGCCTGGCCATGGAGAACAATGTAAGCATCTCTGCTTCCCAGTGCCCACCTTCTGTATCACGCCGTCTCCCTGTAGCACTTCATGGCCTTTGACACTGTGTGTACTTATGCTATCCTATGTCCTTCACAGCATGTGCAAGTTACAAATTTGCTCTGTGCAGATTTTGTACTGTCTGTACTATAAACGGCAAACGGATGGGACTGGTTAGTATTAGGGTGCTTGGTAGAGAGTTAGTTGTTGGGTGGTGGATGAAGAACTGTTAGCCTTCTGGCAGTCTGCCACAGAGCGGGGGTGGCGGAGTTGCTGGGTGTGCGGGGGTCCAGCAGTAGAGGAGGGGCCGTGATGGACTGCTCTCTGCCGAAATCGGTTCCCAGGGAGCTTGAGTTAATTTCCCTACACTTGTCCCGGGATTATAAATAAAACCGGTGTGCTTCAAGTTGAACTGGCTCTCATTGCACACTGTGTAGGTGCTGTTGCTATGGCTGCTTCTCTTTTATTTGGCTGGGGGATGGGTGAAGCATAGCGTTTGTCATGGGGGGGGGGTCTGATTCCCAAAGAGCTGGGCAATTATCGCTGGAATGCTATTCGGCAGGCAAGGGGATCCCTCTTGTTTTGTGAACTGCTAATTTTCACTGCAGTGCCAGACACCATAATTTGACCCTTTGGACTTGTGCTGTTGTCCATCCAAGAGCGTAATGTCAACATGCTAAAAGTTATGTGTTTGCTTTTCAGTCTAGCTGTCAGCAGAGTTATCTGACGGGTATAATGTAGTTCTATAGCATAGTACCCAGTTTTGCTTTAATGTAGGTCGAATCTTAGCGAAAACACTAACAGTCACATCACAGTAACAAGTATGAAGAGATATCAGTTTTGTTGTGTGTCTGTAATTAATGACTGTAAGTGCATTCGTGAGGTATTTCAGTACTTGATTGCCCTCCCCAGAGGAAAGTGTGTACTGTTCAGCTGTGAAGTTGTCCGCTGAAATATTTGTGAGTGAAATCATCATTGGCTTCTGTTATGTTAAAGTTTGAGCAGAAATCCTTGAAGGCCCCTCACTATGCTTTAACCTTTTCGCTGACCTTTCCTCCCGGAGACGGCCGTCTCCGCTTCTTCACCGGTCTTCTCCATATGATTTGTAGATTAAGCTGAGTGAGGTAGTGGCGACGGGAAAAGATGGACGCATCTTGAAAGAGGACATCCTCAACTACCTGTCCAAGCAGACCGGGGCCATCCTGCCCCCCACGCCCTACCAGGAGATTCAGCCGCCGCCACCCTCAGCGGCCCCTTCAGCGGCAAAGCAGAAGGACAGGGCCCCCCCTGGGGTCTCCCGGCCTGTGTCCCATAGACCAGTGTTCACGGGAAAGGACCACACAGAGCCCCTCAAAGGTGACGTGGGATTCCCAACCTCTCCTGTCAATAATACATCAAATGTAAATGCCAGACTATCTTACTGACCACCCCCACCATCATAATACGCAGGGGGTTTGATATCCACCCGACGATTTCAGGATGATTTCTTGTGGTCTATACCCCCCTGGCCAGTGTAGTTTGATTTCTTGGCTGAACCCATCTCTCGACAGGGTTCCACAAAGCGATGGTGAAAACAATGACTGCAGCGCTGAAGATCCCGCACTTCGGTTACTGCGACGAGGTGGACATGAGCAAGCTGGTGCGTCTGCGCTCCGAGCTGAAGGACCTGGCCGAGGCGCGGGGCATCAAGCTGACCTACATGCCGTTTTTCATGAAGGTAACCGCTAGTGCCTTAAGCACCTGCAGTGTGTGTGTGTGTGTGTGTGTGTGTGTGTGTGGTGGGTTGGTCGCCTTATGCCACACTGATATCTACATGATTTTGTGTGTGTGTGAGAACAGGCAGCCTCCTTAGGCCTTCTACAGTACCCCATCCTCAATGCCTCCCTGGACGACGGCTGCCAGAACATCACCTACAAGGTAAGCCCTCCATCCAGGAAAAACAACTCTGGGGGGTATTCCACGGAGGAGGATTAAGGGAAAGTCTGACTTATTTCGACAAGTCTAGCTCATTTAAGTGGAAATTCCGTTCCATCAACGTGTCTTAAATGAATCCCCGCTGAATTACCATGATAACTTAGATGAGTGAACAAGCCTGGTCCGGACCAGGTTAACGGTTTCGCTTAGTTTAGCGTTGTCTCAAAGAACGTCCGACGTGTGGGAACAGATTCCCAAAAGATCGTTCCGTCGGACGAAATTCCGCGATCTTACTATTTATGTCATGTAAACTGTTGAATTATATGTCCTCATCTGACATTATATTTTACATTATCTGATTTAATTTAATTGAGTTAATCTGTAAGGTGTACCAAAATGACATGATTTTGTTTGAGTTAGCGGGAGAATGAGTCTTGTATATATGTATATATATAAAAAAAATAAATGGAACCCTGTAGTCAGTACTAACCCCCTTGCTGTGGGTAAAAGCAAGACGAGAAAGCAGAGAATGAAAACCATCTTTTCTGAAGTAAAGCTCTGCGTGATACTTCCATAATATGGAGAACAGATCTGAGATGGATGCCAGTACACCCTGATATGACCACCTAAGCGTTGGTCCTCTACTCTTCTCCAGGCAGCGCACAACATCGGCCTGGCCATGGACACACCGCAAGGCCTTCTCGTGCCCAACGTGAAGAACGTGCAAATGCTGAGCATCTTTGACATTGCTGTTGAGCTCAACCGTCTACTGTCCCTTGGCACAACGGGGCAGCTTGGTACCAGTGACCTCACCGGAGGCACCTTCACCGTCTCTAACATCGGCTCGGTGAGAGCAGGAACCCGAGGTGCCCACTGTATGACTTTGATGATGTTGGTTTCCTTGGTAACATCTCTCGTGTGTATGTGTGTGTGTGGTCAGATCGGCGGCACCTATGCGAAGCCCGTTATCCTGCCTCCTGAAGTGTCCATTGGAGCATTGGGGAAAGTCCAGGTTTGTGCCCTTTAGAGATGGGGAATCCCCATCATGGGGGAACATGAATGGCTGCCTCCCTCAGCTGCATATCTTGGCAAACATTACTCAGGGTAGGTGCAGTGATTGGTGGTAAACAGTCTTGTCCCCGTAGGTCCTGCCTCGGTTTAACTCCAAAGGCGAGGTGGTGAAAGCGCACATCATGAACGTCAGCTGGTCTGCTGACCACCGCATCATTGACGGAGCCACTATGTGCCGCTTCTCGAACCTTTGGAAGTCCTACCTGGAGAACCCAGCCACCATGGTTTTAGATCTCAAGTGATCGTGCAGCACTTGTAGCCACCTGAACTGAAGTGACCCGTGTTGTCTAATGGTATCGATTGACTTTATTTCGGAGTTCGACCCCAGTGTTTCTGTCCTAATCACCCCTCCCCCCCACTGCTGTTCATGGGGTCATAACACATGAAATGCGTTTGCGACATTCTTAACACTAATCCCATTGTAGGGTCCTCATTGCCTTTTGGGTTGGGTTGACTCGACATGCCTTCCTGTTGTCTTGCGTACTGAGTCATGAGTTGTATGTTATCTTAGATTAGAGCTGCTGTTTGTCTATGGCATGCTCATCAGTATCAGGTCAATAAGTTCCCTACCCTATGGGGCAGTAGGTAGCACAATTGTTAAACACACAGATGTGCAATGTGAAGGTTGCTGGTCCGTGTCCCAGAAGGGACATGGCTGGTAGACCATGAAATATTTTTTTAAACCTCAATTACTCTAGTTAATATCTGACTATATGAACCTGGTGTGATAATCATGGTGAATTTCTTTGGGTAAAAGCATCGAGTGTGTCAGCTAAGTGATAGCACACAAGCAATCAGAGGGGCGGGACCTTCAGGGTACATGCCTTGTACAGCCAATAATGTAATAACTGCCAATAATAAAATTTCTAAATTATAAAAGTAATAACTTTACATTATGCACAAGAAGTAATTACATTATTGACTGGGTATGACATTATTGGCTGGTGTAGCAGCCATTAATAACCACCATTAATGTATTAAAATGATTACGTTACTGGCTGCTAGATGCCTCAGATTGTACTGAATGAATGCCAGAAAAAAAGCTGTTGCAACAGGGAATATTCATTGTTTTCCCCTATTTAATAATCATGGTATTACTCTATTTGCTAGTTCCCCCCCCCCTCCCCAAGGTGCTGCTTTTTTGATTTTATTTCTAGTAGTTGCTGTTCTCATTACATCATTAATTACTGGGGAATAATGGACACATGCCTTCCACAGATTGGTACTGCTGTGGTTCCCAGCCATAACCATTTGTAGCCACCGTTTAGACTCTGATGTATTATAGAGTGGATGTGTAATGCTAGGCGAGTGGGGATAAGGTTTTAATAAATTTGTGGTGTCAGATCTGTGCATGTTGTGTTTGTGTGTTTTTTATTGTACACTAATGTTAAGTAAACATAATAGCAAGGAGCTCATACATGACATACTGTAACAATACCGCGGTTACATTTTGAACAGCTGAAATGCAGATTGCCGTCAATTTATAGCACAGTATGGAATTTTATTAATTATGAAAATTACATTGATGATATGTACATTCATGAGTATTTCCTATAGTATTTAAAGGACCAAACAGAATTTTAATAAGAATTAAGGTGAGTAATTAAAAATAAATTTCATTCATCCCAAAAGTAAATCGCCTTAATAGTTCTGTTACATGTCTTGATCTTTATTATTATTTTTTTTATTTATGGAAAGAAATGGTGTGTGGTGCTGCTAATTTGTATTTATGGTTTTCAATGTAAAACTTGGTGAAATGTTTCTGTGGCCTGTCAATACTTTTGGAACATTTTCAGCATATTAACAATACCGCGATAGTATACTGATCATGGTGATAATTTTCCTCTGGCTATGCCCCTGGGGGGCGTTTGACAAAGCAGGATTTCTTGCTTAGCCGGATAACTTGTTGGATTTAAGGTGGCCTGATCTAGATGGATTTTATCTTTGTTCACTTACATGTAGCTCAGACTGCCTTAAATGCAACAAGTTATCCGGCTAAGAAAGAAATCCTGCATCGTCAAACACCCCTGGCAGGGGCTCCGTTGTTGGTGGGGGTAGTCAGGATGATTTATGGCAGGGGCCCTAAAAATTTGGAAAATAACCTGATTGGTCTGGACTAGTGGGCCCGATATGATATGCTTTCATGGGGCCCAAAATCTCTAGCAATTCCCTGCCCCCTGGTGTAGCCTTTTAGTTTTCAAAAATAATCTCTATACAAATCAGCCTGTGTTGTTAACAGCAATCAAAAACAAAGCTTGAAAATCTGAAAGAATTGGTATGACTTTAATGACAATACATCGCATCTAAAAAACGTAATGTTCAGGACGGTATAAGGAGTCAGGCGATGTTGCTGAATATGCGAGTATCGATGAAGGGAGCGCAATTCATTTGTCTACACTACAGATGGCAGGAGAGAGTAAAAGTACAAAGTGCTTATTTCAGCATGAAATCTAGAGCTCAGGACAACACTGAGGATCCCTCCAGCAGGAGATCACAAGCCGCGTCTCGGGGGGTGTAATTTCCGTACCTTATTTAAAGTTTCTTTGTAGAATACAATTTCGAAATGCGTATTGATTTTCATGTTTTGATGATGCATATTTAAATCATAAGGTTTTGAAAGGTCAACTAGTCTATCTAATATTTGTATTGATCGCTGAAATTAATGATCAAGCTTTTTTTCATAGAATTTAGGCCTAAGTGAATAACAGCAAAATGAAAAAGCTGCCAAGGTTTACTTAGAAATCATCGGAGCCGGCCGCTCTGATGGAGTCGGAAAGCCGTCGAAACGACGCAGATCACAAGGCCAACAGGTGCGGGGAGTCTCGGCTACAGAAAGACATCAGTGGCACGGGGCTGAATTGGGAGAGCCGCAGGAATGGGGGAGCATCGGTGGCTCAAAACGGACGGGGAATTTCGAAAACTAATGAAAATGAAAATTTAAATAGTTACAATTGAATTCCTGATGTCAGAATTTGGAATTTTAACTAGTTCAAATTCCAAATTCCATTGAAATTAATCAGAGAACGTTTTGAATAAATATCATTTTCAATATCAAGAACTGGCATAAGTATTCACAACTGAATTTCTGAAATCAAGAACTGGCATTCTAACTAGTTAGAATGAATTTGTGATATCCTCTAGAAATGAATTAAAGCTAAAACAGCTTGTCATATGAGACGTAAGTGAACACATGAGTACAAAGAAAATGAAAACATTAACACGTGTCAGCTACGTGGAGACGGCCGTTTATTATTTCAGTTTCATAATTTCCAGCAACATCTTGGGTAAAATAACAAACACATTACAGATGCAACAGGGCACTCGGGTGCACATATGGCACAATGACGGCGTAGTAGCCGTGTGATGCATTTCGTGGCCCACAGACGACCTCCCGAGTGCACGTCCACTGACGCGGTGAGACACTGTCCGTTAAAGGCAAGTGATCACAATGCGGCCCTTTTATCGCGCCGAACCAGAACACTGCGCTTCAGCAGACAGCTGACACTCAGGCAGACCCTCCCATGTGACCTGCACTATTCCCGGTCTTGCCCCTAAAAATAGATACACTCTGGGGTAACGCTAACAGAATTGCGAAGGTTGGGGGGCTAGTGCATAACAATTCTCAGACAGAAGAGTGATTCACGATTCGATCTCAGGAAATAGCATGAAAGAGTAGGGACCTGACTTGTGTACCACGTGAGGCTTATGACAATGACAGCCACAGATGACCATCTTGTATCATGAAACGGGTGAGTGCCTGCTAGAGAGCAATGCTACAATGTAATTTCAGAGCTTTCTTTCTTTCTCTCTAAGACCACACAATGCTATATATTAGGATGTCTGGATTGTTTAGAGTAACTGGATGTGCATTGTTTATTGACTGATGGTTTTATAAAGTAAATATGTACTATTGACACTTTCAAGGATATATTCAGATATATATATATATATATATATACACCATTTAGATTTTTTTTCCACAGATGAGCACGTCTATCCTCATCTCTCAGTTGACACACGCGTAGCCTGTTTCCGCTGTGTGTGTCCTTGTTGAACAAAGCCGGACTGTTGTCCCTCCTCTGACTGGGAGGTGCCGGAGTCACCATGACAGGGGTGACGGTGTGTTTCGGTACGGTGAACTCCATCAAAACCCTCTGGGAGACCAGGATAAAAAAATGCAGGGAGGATCAGCAGAAGCAGCAGGATCTGAAGGAGAGGGCAGCGGTGGGCAGGTAGGATCGTTTTTCGGGACGGACAATGTGTTCTTATGACTTGATCCAGTCCAGGGGTGTTTCTCGATATCAAGAATGCAAAGAGCAAGAACAAACCCAAGAACAAACTCGGGTTGCAATGTATCATGGGATTGTTCTCATTGGTGAGGATGCAACTGATGCATCCTTGATATTTGGGACGGGGCAAAAGGACATCTGGGGATATTTTTCTGTCATGCGTACTTCTGTACTTGAATATTGGAACTGTACTCCGGCAAGGAACATGATGTGAAATGGGTAAGCGAGAACACAAGTACAGTCAAGTATGCATATTGATAAACACTTCAGAACTTACCTGAGTCAGTCAATGGGAGGCAGTCATTTGTCATGCCTTGTTTTTTACTTTAGGCTGGCACATGCCTGGGAGGATCGAATCTCCTTGGCCAAGCTGAAGGACAAAGTGGTAACGGAGGATGGGAGAGTGATCTTAAGGATAGAGAAAGAAGAATGGAAGGTGTGGTTCTAAAGACATTCAGTCTCAGCCAAAACACCATTGGAGCTTAAGGAGCAAATGCCAAATAAGTTTACGATTAATGGGAAGTTGATGCGGCTGTTGTTTTCTAATGCAGTATTTCCCAACTCGGCCTTGGGGGATCCCTAGACATTCCACATTTTTGCTCCCTGCCACAAAGTCCATATTTTTACCCGGGTAGGAGCAAAACCGTGGTCTGTCTGGGGGTCCTCCGAGGACCGGGTTGGGATACACCTAATAAAGCAGCTTTTGAAAGTGGGCAGCTTGTTCCGCAGAGCCTAAAGGCCGCGCCACCTCTCATCTCCATCTCGTAGACCCTGCCTCCAGTGCTGGTGCAGCTCTCTCAGGTCCAGGAGTGGCAGCTGCACCGGACCAGCCTGCAGAACATCCCACGCTTCATCGCCAGCTTCCAGCACCTCATCGTCCTCGACCTGTCCCGCAACGTCATCACGGAGATCCCCAAAGAGATTGGTCAGTGTCCCCGGCACGACTCAGGACCCAAGAGGCTTTTGGCGTCGTTGTCGTTGGTCGGTAAGGTAGCCGGTGCTCCTGACCCGTAGGTAAGATGACCAGGTTGAGAGAGCTGCTACTGAGCTACAACCGGCTGAACTTCATCCCCGAGGAGCTCTGCTGCTGCGAGAATCTGGAGAAGCTGGAGCTGGCTGTCAACAGGAACCTGGACGAGCTGCCCACACAGGTCCCTCACGCAGCACCAGCTCTCCTCTTGGGCTCGACACCTCCTTCAGCCTCCTTCAGCCACACAGACATGATGGCATATTCCCACCAACATCTCCACAGCCCCGTTCCTGAATCTGTGTCAAAGCTTTCCTCGAATCAGACACCTCTGTGATTCTCCCGATCCTTTATAAATTATTTTCAGTTTATGAGGCAGCCTCTAAGTTCCGGCCACAAGGCTCCAGAGGCACCTGCCTGATCACAGTCACTGGAAGAGTTTATGACACGGGCGCTGAGTGTGTGAAACTCAATCGCCCAAAGAGGGCCGACTTCACAATCTAGATTATTGTAAGTGGTGTTACACCTAAAACGCACACTTACAGACTAATCAGTGGTTGGATTAACTCTGCTTCAGAAATGACATTCAATATATAACAGATAACAGATCATAAAGGGATCATTCTCAAATACTATACTACACCAGAATGAAAAATATAATTATGTACACATTCACAATGAAGTTAAATTCTCTGCTTTCTCAGCAAGTCCTAAAATAACCGAATACTAAGTAAATACTAAAATTTAAATACTAGATACTAATGAGTACTAAAATAAAATTTGAGAATTGCAGCAGCAAAAAACATGGCTGGAGTCTACCGCTTGTTAATGTTTTTTTTTCCCTTCAGTTGAGTAAACTGACCAAGCTGTACCACCTGGACCTCTCCATGAACCAGTTCACCAGCATTCCTGACAGCGTGGTGGACCTGCCAGCCCTGGAGTGGCTGGACATGGGCGGCAACCGGCTGGATCACCTGCCGGAGAACATCCACAAGTAAGCCGGTCAGGGACGCGGCCCTGTGACCCCCCTCGATGACTGGCCCGGCACCCGGTGACCCCGGCCTCTGCATCCCGGACAGGATGGAGAAGCTGCACACACTGTGGCTGCAGAGGAACGAACTGGAGGTCCTGCCTGACAACATCGGCTACATGCACAGCCTCGAGACGCTGGTGCTGAGCAGCAACAAGCTGAGGGACATTCCTGCCTTGATGGAGGGCATGAGCAACCTCAGGTGAGGAATGACACCCCCTACAGGCCATGCTAAATAGTGATGACAACCAAACCACTGTGGGTTTGACTTTGACAACACTCAACAAGACTCGTGATTACATTTTATTTTAAAATACAAATACACATTAAGAGACCACATACTGACAAATAAAGGCTTTTTCTCTTCTGCTTCAGTTTAAGGCACAATGTTAAAATAACAAAAAACATTCTTTTATTTTGTACCTTCAGGTTCGTGAACTTCAGAGACAACCCATTGACACTAGACGTGTCACTTGCCAAGCAGGACGCAGCCATGGTAGACGAGGAGGAGGATGACCAGGAGATGTTCGGAAAAGACTTCATGCACGCCTACATCAAGGAGGCTCGCAAGAGAGGTTACACTGTTATTAACGTTCACCGCTTGCCCTGGAGGTAGAATTATGGACTTTGTTGACTGTCTGAAATACAGCATTCTGAGCGAAACACTTAAGCTGTGAATTTGTTCTTCTGTTTACAGAGACCCAGACAAAATACACCACAGTATTAAACGTGACCATCAGCCCTGGGCCTGACGCGGCACCTGCACTCTAACATGCTGTGTGCTCCCCATATCTGCCAGTGCCTGTCGCTGTTTCCTGTCAGTGCTGTCCCGTCTGTCAAAGTTGTTCCGCCTACCGCTTCCTGTCAAGGCCGTCTTGGCCACCGCTTCCTGTCAAGGCCGTCTTGTCCGTGCTTCCAGTCAGCGCCGCTAAGCTCCATGTTGGTGTCAATGCTCTCTGGTCCAAATCCTTTTCAGCCGTCTTTTTTTGGGTTCTTCAACTACTGATGCTGGTTGGAACTGCAGTTAGGAGTACATTCTCCAGTGAGACATCTTTGCTGGTGTAGTAGCGGAGGTCGGAGGCGAACCCTTTGCCACGGAGGAAGTGGACCCTTCCGCAGTCGATCAGCAGCTTGCAGAGGCGCCCGACTCGCTCGCGGTCCTCTGCGGACACGAGCCTGCAGGTGGACACAGGGACGGAGAAGAATGACGTGAATCAGTACTGAAAATAACCTGAAAATAACCTTACTCTCCTGTTACAGCATTAATACAGCACAAGCAGAGGACGGAAATGAGGCTCGGAATAGTGACGAATTTGGTAAATACTCAAAAACGTAACTTCCGTGAAACAACATTAAAATACCCATAACTTTGCCTCTTGCATTGTCATTATCATGAAAAATAGTGTGAGTCTGAAAACATGAGGTTGCTGTCTGTGTACTCTGAGGATTTCAGTGTGATTTCTCCCACCTCTTTGCTTGGCACTTTTATTGTTTGGTCTTAAAGTGAATCTGGACATCTGTTTTGCAGGCCAGTAGCATAACAGATGTGTTGATCCTTCTGAGTTCCAGTGCTGGTTCTTGGGTTGGATTATGGAGTCTGCCAGTCATGAGTAAAGCACACTCACTCGTTCAAGGTGCTGGGTACGGCGTCCTCCCCCTGATCGTGCTCCTCAGCCCCCCACTCTCCCGCTGAAGGTCGGCCCTCCACGCCGGCCACCTTTCTCAGGCCACATGTGGCCCAGCTGGACATGCGCTGGAAGGCAGCGAACTCGGGGGCGCCCAGCCCCCGCTCCCGGAAGAACTCCTTCCCCACGTAGTGCCTCCAGTCGCAGCGGTGGTGGCAGCAGAGAGCGATGGCCAGCCCGGAGACCTCGCCTGCGGCCACGGGGTCACGCTTAGCCCCCCCCTCCTGCTTCACGCGCTTCCTGGGGGGCTCTCCACTCTCCTCATCGTCCTCGACACTATCCAGCAGACACCTCAGCGCCAGATCTGAGGACAAGGAATGAGACAGAACCCTGACGTAACGAGGAATGCAGTGCGGTCACTGTCAACAAGGCAGGAAGGGCCTGGCATCTGACGTCTCCTGGGCGGGGGCCACGGGGGCCGCGGGGCCCTGCAGTCTATGGCAGGTAGCACAGGGCACAAGGCTGGGGTGGCATTATTACAGGTTTGATTTTTAAAATTTAATTCTTACTTTTATATGATTCTCAATTTTCATTTGAAATCCAGTTTAGTTTTAGCTTTCAGTGTGGTTTTGTTTTTAAAGATATATTACTATTGGGTCTTATATATTTTACTTTCAATTGAACTTTTAGTAATTTAATTTCTAGGAACAGATTGAAATTTGAATGTGACTGGTCTTTAGAGAATCTTTCCTGAATACACACTGCACATTATGCATTTACTAATGTTAGAGATGTGTTGGTCCGATGTGTCAATTTTGGCCAGTATTGCTGACCGATATTTGAACTTTATAAATATCGAAAGTTAGTAGCACTAGGGCTAAAGACATAACTACTACAATAATGTAGATGATTGCGTTGGATATGAATCCTGTAAAATACGGGATAGGAGGGAACTCTAGTTAGAAGAAGTTTCAAAGTACAGCGAGACGGTTTTGTATGGCCTGCAACTGGTTTTTAATGGATTATTAAATTTGACCTGGAGACTGATCTTTCATTTTTCACAGAATAAAAAATGACCATTCCGCTAATCAGTATCGATATGAGACAAAAATACACCCCCCACTGATGTCGTCAAATAGGCAAAAAATGTTCCAGGTATTATTAATGGTAATTAAAGATAAACAAATCATTACTTTAGCTAAATAGTGTTATTAAATAGTAAAAACGGTAACAGAAAGTATTTGATGTTTATTCTTATTTTGGAAGCTATGTACGTAGTTGTGGTTCAGTCATAGTTTTTCATTTTTGCATCTTATTTCCGTTTACGGAAATGTCTTCTGATAGTTTCAGGTTCTGTCGACGATAGTAACGCTGGGCTGGGGATGGGTTGACGCTTCAGGGCACATGCACACTCCATCATACCCTATGGAGATGCCAGTTAGCCTGACAGAATGTCTCCATTATGGGAGGAAACAGAAGCACCTGGAACAAACCCACCAGACACGGGGAGAACACGCAAACCGCACCTGGAACAAACCCACTAGACATGGGGAGAACACGCAAACCGCACCTGGAACAAACCAACCAGACACGGGGAGAACACGCAAACCGCACCTGGAACAAACCCACCAGACACGGGGAGAACACGCAAACCCCACACACACAGAACCGCGGCGGGATTCGAACCTCCGACCCTGAAGGGTAAGAAAAAAGGGGGCCACCCCAGGACCTAATATTATTTCTGCAATTTCACGTGGTTACTGGAGTCAAACTGCAGGCGGCTCTGCGTTTACCTGTCGCCGCCCCACACAGATGCTTGCCAACTCCGACGACTGGGACTTTCTGTTCTTGTAGAAAAGGAACTTTACCTTTAAACCAAAAACAAAATTATTAACAACCTGAATGAAGCAATGAATGAATGATTTACACCGGTGTTATTCAACCCTGTGCTCAGTTTGGAGAACAGAGGTTGAAGACTGGACTAAGAATCAATGATTTACTCAGTATAAGAAACTGTAACTTGCAGAAAAACAATTTTTAATTAATAAAACTGCACTGTAGTGTGTGTTTCATGCACCATACTTACGCAGACAGAGGTGCTGAATGTCCACTTGCAGTCTGTCAAATGTGACGTCTGCATTTTTGTGTTTACCGTCTACCTAAAGTTACGACAATAACAGTAAATCTGCTGGAAGAACATCGCAGGCACATGAGTAATCCAGAAGCCATAGCCTTAGCTCAGCCATCACGTCACGCACCTTGAAACGTGTGCAGGATCGCTCCACCAGCATGAAATGGACACTGCGAGAACCCTGCAGGGCCACGTGGATCCAGTGGGACAGTTTCCCTTTCCCTGCACCGAACTCAATGAAGCACCGTTCGGGTCCCAGCAGCCCCAACGCGTCCATGTTCCCCAGGAGAGACGCCTTGTGAACCGACAGCACAGCGAGCGGAATTCCTTTAGATCAAACAGACGCCATAAAAATAAAGACACGAAGGCTGCGGTCACATACCTGTTGCTTTAGGTGCTTGAATGCAGAATCGCCATTTTTTGGATCGTTGAGAGCGTCACAGAGAGCTGGATGGAACAGAATTCTCTCTTCATGTTCAAGATTGAGCCCTACAAGTATTTATCAATCATTAACAGAAGGAAGCATGTCTCAGTCCAGTTTTGAGTTTCATACATAGTGCAGTGACCACCAGAAACATTGTAGAAGATGCATGGAAGCCGTGATAGACATTGTGCTGACTGATATGACATGAAACTGTCTCCTTAACTTACCACTGACTGCACTGTTTAGTTTTTGAATCAGGAAGTTCAGCTCTTCTTTGGAACGTTCTCCTAGCGGTACCTATCAAAAGGCCAACATCTTAATAACCAAACAAATACACAGATGAGAGAAGAGATCCCACCAATAATGAATCATCCAGGCATCACCTCATCCAATAGAAGACCCTCATCTTCCTGTGGGCCAGCGTTGACATCCTGAATGTAATATACCTAGATTTGAAATATAGAGAATGATTATCAAATGTCGCATATAAAACTCAATCTACGAAAGACAGACATGAGATCTTCCATCTCTGACAACAAGATTTCTCTGTACTTCTTAACTGTGCCATAATTATACTTTCCTGCATAATCAAATTCTGTACGCTGAGATACTGATAGCTTTCGCTCTGCTTGTGGCCTGTTTATATGTGCATACTATGTGCTCACTTTGTTGCTAAGATGTAACGTATAGCGCATTCAGAAAGTACTCAGACTACTTCACGTTAGGGCTGTGCGATATGGCATAAAATTCATACTGCGGTATAATTTGAACCATAGATGGTAGACGGTATATAATTTGATCTGGAAATTTAAATATAACCGTTTTTGAAAGGGTAATATATGTCCATAGCAAAGGCATTGCAGCAGGAAGTTGTATAGTAAACTGTTAACACATTTCAAAGTAGTCGTGAACGTAGAATATTTATTGTGCAAATCTGCAATTATAGAAAAAATATGAAAACATTTCAAGTAACTTCCCCGGTTTTATCTTATATTAAAAACACAGGTTGGTTTTGTAAACTGTAGATACGCAGAAAACAAGACACCGAACCAAAAGCCACAAAACTAATACAATTAGACTAGTGTCATAACTCCATCTATATTAGAATGACCATCTCTTCCACAAAGGTCCTGCCAGGCATGGTCTTGCACGGGTTCGGGTACCCGCGGGTGACCCGCAAATTTTGATGAAACGGGTGAAAAATATTCTACTGTGTTGGATACGGGTTCGGGTGGGATGCAGGAGAGCGCGGGTCTAAATTGCGGTTTTCAAAACATCATGTGCCAATAAAAAATACCCTAGGGCTATATTTTAGTGACACACAAAAATCCCTGCATTCAAGATCATAAAACATAAAATCCATATCACTTTATGCCTTCACGCGCATTCCCGAAAATCTCTCATCTTCAAAAAGCTTGAAAATCTTGAAAATTTGAAAATCTTTCATTCTCAAAAAGCGCATGTGATCTCCTGCAGTTGTTTGAAATGGATGCTGAGTAGTTGAAAAGAAAACTAGCAAGTGGAGAGTTTAAAGTTGCCACCACTAAAATCAAGTCTGAATTTCGGAGTTATCTCAGATAACGAAAACAACTCTTTAGACGTCTTGTCTTGGCGGAGAGAGCATGAGCATTTGTTTCCCAATATTGCTCATATCTACTCTCGCCACCCCGGCATCCTGGGCCGCAAGTGAGCGAGATTTCTCATGTGCCGGAAATGTCATCCAGGAGCGAAGGAGTCAGCTGAGGCCATCAACTGTGGACGATATCCTTTTTTTACACAGTAATATAAAGCACCACACCAAACACTAGTCTTTGCCTTCGCATTGGAATTCCTATGGGGTAATCAAAGGAAAATGGACAGTGCACGTAGGTAGCCTGTAAAACCTAATAATGTAAAGGGTAGGCTAATGTACATTTTATATCATTTTAGTTTTATTAACACGTTTGATTGTAAGCTGGTAAGGCTATGTGTGGGCATGGCAGTATCAAACACTATTTGAGTTTGGAGGTAGGC